TTTTTCAAAAAATATAGTGGGTGTGTGAGTGATGCGGGAAAAAAAAAAGAAATAGTTGGACTATTGATCTCATATTTTGCATAAAATGATATTATTTCTTGTCTTTAATTTAATTTATCTTTTAATTTTACAATATTTTTTAAATTTTACAATTAAATTTGTTTCATGCACAATTTTGTTAATCAGTTAGACTACAGTGGTTTCTTTGACTCAACGAGGATCTGGTACGGGATTGTTCGAGTCAAAGACGACCAACCACTTGACGACACATCAGCAGCAAGCTTACACACGTGTAGTGATATGATTGGAAAGGCCTCAATCGGACCAATAAAGATTAAAGGCTGGCGTAACACAACCATCGCATGAAATAATTGTGTGCGGACAATATTTTAATCATGCGAATGAACCCAGCGACCATTAACGGATAAACGGACCACAGATTAACCGTCAACATTTCTTCTTGGGGTGGGATTTGAGGGGGGGGGGGAATGGCATTCCTCTTGCGCTATATACTTATAAGGTAGATGGAGAATTAAATTAATTTTTTTAACATATGTATAAGATAGAGAGAGAAATTATTCATATAATTTTATAATTTTACTATTTATTTATTATAGTGTTAACTGTTTTTATGAGTTGTAATACATATTAAATAGGAATAAAATTGAAAAGTTATTAAATTTTAAATGAAAATTAATAAAATTTAATTTTTTTTATATGTGTGAAACATGTTAAAAATAACTTATAAATAAAATCAGAAGAGTACAATACTTCTACTCTTAAAAGCTGCTCTCTCTTGTCTATAATATAAAATGCTGCTTAAAAACAATTGTGTCTAAGTTATAAGACATTTTCAAGATAATTAATGTGAATATTATGCTTTTACCCCTATTAAATATAAGAAAGAGAAGAAAGAGATGAAAGATAATAAAAGTATACTCCATCTAGTTCTATTTATAAGCTTTAGATTTATGATGTGGTGTGATCCATTTTATAAGTTTTAATTTAAGTTTATCTTAATGTTAAATGTATTTTTTTAATTTTATCCTTAATTATTTATTCTCCCTCTTTTACATACTCTTTTTAATCACATTTTCTCTCACATTCTTTTTTTTATCATTTTTCTTGTTTATTACAAAGGCAAATTTGAAAACAAAAATATATTTTTAACCTATTTATTGTTTTTAACTCATTTTAAATTATTATTTGTTATCAGTGAATTAATTATTTAAAACTCATAATAAAAACAAAAGAGTAACATTAAAGGCAAATTTATCATTTTTATGGGTAAAATAAAAAAAAAGCTATTATTTTAAGACAAATTTAATGACTAAATTTCTATTTATTGGTATGTGAAAAAAGTTAATCAACTTTTTATATTATGGACCAATAGAGTACTTAACTAATTTGAGTGGGTAAAAAAAATTAATTAAGTTATTCCTCTAGTCCTATTTATATGATAGAGAGAGAAGAAAGTCTTTTTTTCTATCTATAGAGTAGAAAGAGAAACTTTTCATATGATTATATAATTTTACCTTTCATTTATTATTGTATTAACTTCATTTTCATGAGGTATAATGTATATTAAGTGGAGATAAGATTGGAAGGTTCGAAGTCCTTAAATTTTAAATGAAAGTTACTAAAGTTTAATATTTTTCTTGGTCTATGTAATACATATTAGAAGTGACTTATGAATAGGACTAGAGGAGTAATTCTTTGTAATAAATACGATTTAATTTTTCCAAAATACCTCTTGTAATCATGACTATTCGATGGAAGTCCTATTAATATGTGTAATCAATAGGAATACTTTAAAAAATGGATTATAATTTTAGGAAATAAGGTGAATTTATATTTTATATTTAAAATCAAATCTAACCTCCTAATTAGATTTTATACTAAAGACCAGAGGTAATAATTAACCTCCTTCTATGTAGAATGCATGATACTTAAGTTAAAATGTGGATTGTAAAGGGCAAGTCGCCTAAAGGCTTATTTAAAATGACATATAAAAAAAATTTTAATTGTGATTTATAGAATATAAAATAAGTATATGAGAGAAATTTTATCTTAACTTATCTAAAATATGTTCATAAATTATTTTTCTTGTAATCCCAGATAATGCCTAAATAGTAGCATTACTTATCAGGTTTGAATAAAAGCTCAAGTTTAAGGAATGTTTAGATGAAAAATAAATCATGGTGTTTAAATTTTGACGTATCTATGTGCACATGTGTTTAAACTAGCTCAAATAAAAATAAAGTTAAAAATGCGAATTATTAAATTTAATAATAAATTAAGAGAAGTCAAAACTCAAGTTCTAATTTTGAGTTAAAATATGGTGTCCCGCATCAGATAAAATTAAGCTTAAAAAAATATATATGGTAAATTAAAAAGAAAGAAAATTAGTATTAAATCCGTAAAAATAGCACAAAATTTGACAAGTTAAATTTTCATTTTTTTCATTATAAAAAAAGGAATAATGTTTGCAAACTAATGTTTAAAAAATTTACAAATCAAGAAATATTAGTGTCAAATATCTAAACGTAAAAGAACTGGAAATTTATATTTATATTTTTATTAAAAGATTCAATATAATGTTTTCTTATCTGCACCTCTCTTTTTTTCTTCAATTCCCTTGATTTGATACTAATCCCTCCTTTATTTGTAACTTTTTATGTGATTTTACAACTCCCATAATAAGGGTATTTTAGTATATTCTCTATTTGATTCAAATCATTGAAGCACCTTTATTATTTCGCTGTAGTTTTTTGCTACTTAAAACTTTAAACCAAGTTTTATTAGTTTAAATTTATTTATTGATTATATATGATTTCTCAAGTTATTAATTTTTTTTTTCAAAATATCAAATATTAATAAATAAAAAAGGGAATTATCTCATTTAATCAACCAAAAGAAGTCATTATACCTTAGTTCAGATCAATTTTTTTAAATAAAAAAATCGACTTTCAAATATGTATACTTTGCTACAATTCACTCCGTTGTTTATCAATTCGAAAACTTCACAAATATTTTGTTTTAAAATCATCAGCCACTAGCTTTCGCACTAAATAAAGAGCATATAAATAGAATGAGGGACATTCGTCCAAAAAGTAGATGTTGAAATGAAAGAACCAATGTGGTCAAATCCCCTATAGTGGCATAACTCGATGAGGAACTTCAACAACACTAATTTAATTTTATTATTTTTGCCAATTTTATGATTGTACTGTAAGCAATAAATAATAAAAATTGCATCTGGCCGTGGCTTAAATGTTGATGGCTCTTCCAATACCAGCGGGCCAATCGAGATTTATTTGAAATTTATGGCACTTGGGAGTAAATAGCTTTGGATTTTAGGTTATAAGGAAAAATCACAAAAAACCCACAAAGATTAAGAAATTGCAAATCAAATACTTTGTCAAAACTTTGCTTTTATGTGCCATTTAATTATTGTCAAAATCTATATACCAATCATATAAGACTCTTGATTTACAATTTTGGAATTTCTATGTTTTTTTTTTTTTGCGAATTTTCCTAAATATAATAACGTCATTCAGTTTTTTGCTCATCAGACACTCACAAAGCACTAGGAGATAATACAATAGGATTATTAACTATACCTAAATCTTACGTACATACAAAAAACACAAAAAGTATTTGCAATGGAACATGTAAGACATATTTCGAAAGAATCATAAAATGTGATAAAATTCAATTATTTCAATCAAGTCTCCCTTTCAACCCCGTCTGAAATTTTTGAGACATCATAAAAAAAATTTATACTGCATGTAGCCTTTTTTATAAAAAAAATCAATTATATGAAATAAGAAGATTATACAACTAAAGTGGGTAAATTAGAGTCCAAGAAATAGGAAAATAATAAAACATCACTTATATAGGGAGTGACTGAAAAAAAATAAAAAAATAAAAAGCGAATAATATTCTTTGTCAAGGTGCCACTGAAATTTAAATGAACAAGGAGACCATTAAGCAAATCTCCTTGCACGTGGTTCAGAGGCACAGAAAATCCTGGGGGGCAATTTAGGTCCAATCCCGCATGTAAACTTCTTTTTTTTTTTTTTTTAATTTGTTTGTTAAATGCATTTAACTATTTACAACTATATGTATATAGACAAACATCTGTGATAACGACTCATATATAAAGAACTAAATAAAGAGCATATTGACCACAACACAACTTTTTTTTTTTTGGGGCCAATGACAAGAAATATTGGGTAAGCTATTTTGTCTTGACAGGTGGCCTCCAACTTTAGCCACGAAAACGACCCCATCCTAAACTTTCAACTATAAATAAAACCACAAGAAACAATACTAAATTTTTTTTTTGGTGAAAAAAATTTTAGGAAAAAGGTTAGGTTCACCCACGATCCAAGGACAGGGCAACTAACGCTTGACCCCAGCCCTACCCAGCGTCGTAGCTTAAATTGGAACAGTATTTGCACTCGTTGTTTACAGGCTAAAGCCTTGGCTTCAAAGATGTCTCTCTCAGCGCCGCGACGTGCTCCAGGGTCGAACCCGCTCTCTTAGTGAGCGTGTCCAACCCCTTCACCTACTGAACCCACGGACGAGGGGCAGAGACAATACTAAATTTTTATTAGCTAAAATGACCACAAATTTTAATATCATAACAAGCACAAAAAAAAAAAAAAAAAACCATCTAGGGTACATCACGGGCATCACATTCTTCAGCATGAAGGAAGATGAAGCAAGATCAGTCAAGAATAGGATTCAAGTTTCAAATGTGTGTTATTAATTTTAAAAAAGAAATTCACATTAATCAGAGACTAACACATTATATAGTTTTCCCATCAATGTTTGGTCTCCCCACCCCCAACAAAACCCACCTAAAGTAAATGGCCTTTGAAGGAAAAATCATAAATGCAGTCAGATCATTATCAGCAGGTTTCGGCAATGTAAAGCAACTAATCCATACTCTAATCGTTATTTTTAAGCATTGTAATGATCCGACACAGAGAAGCATAATGAAGAATGGCATTTCATTGAATAAAATAGTCAGGGTCCAGCCACAAAGGACTTAGACAGAAAAAGCAAAACTCAATTTAAAAACTAGCCAAGTTTTTTTTTTTTTTTCCTCGGTTTAAGTTGGATCCACATCTGGGGACCTGGGGCTTGGGGAGAGCTCTAGGGTAACAGGGCAATGATCACTTCCAACGAAACCTGAAGACATGACATGAGCAAAATCACTTATTTACATGCATAACTCAAGAAGCTTAGGAGTTTTTTTTTTGGGAGGGGGTGGGTGTTAAGAAACTCACCGTCTAACTCTATCCCTTGTCCACGCATTTCACATGCAACAATCCTGTCCTTTAGCTTCTCTGAAACTATGAAATAATCTATTCTCATCCTTTTCCCACGATACCTATTAAAGAAACAAATATCAGGACTAAAGCAGGAGATGCTGATTAAAAATTCTCGTATCGTAAATTTTCAACTCACGGCAAATCACTTGCAGAGATGTATTTCCCTAAAAACAAAGGGGAGAAAACAATGACCAGGAGAAAACAGGGCCTTTTCATATTCTGACGCATTGCTTCAACGGTTGAACATAATGTTTATTCAGGTTTAATTTTGATAACCAAATTTTCGATTGTAATTACGAAGAAATAGTAATCTTACTTTCCAACTGGATTTCCAGACCATGAGAAACCCCGCTCCATGTCCTTTTCTTTGTGCAGAAATCTATAGGCGTCCACCAGTTTCCCCCTGAAGCATGCTTCAAAATCTCAGCTATTACTTTTGAAAAAAATAAACAATAATGTTAAGTTAAAAACAAACGAACAAAAGAAGCTGTTGCAAAGGTTTTTTTTTTTGGGGGGGGGTGTTTGTTATTATCCGCAGAAATAAGTCACCTAGTACATGACTTGAGTCTCATGGCAGAAGATTGGGATCTTATGTAGGTTCTCCAGTGAGATTAGTATCATTTCTTCACATGCCATAAATGAAAGGGGACATGGATACCTTGGAGAGTTGTGACAGCCAACATGGCTGAGAAAGCTACCAAGATTGGGGCAAAAAAGGAGCTACCTAGGAGGGTTGCAACTTAAAAGATAATAGGGTAAGCTGTCTAGAATGGAGCCACTATGGGGATCAGCTGTGAAGGGCTTCACGGTTAGGACCAATTGCAAGGCATAAGACTCGAATCCCACATTGGAAGTAGGAAATTCAGATGCAGGGTTTCTACAGGCCTTGTGATCTCAAACCTCATGAGGTAGCTTTTGGAATATGGCCATCCTAAACATTCTTAACACCATTTTATTTTCATTGGATCTCCATGTTTAACTATCCAAGTTCAACTGTTCACCTATGTAACATGGGCTTGGTGTGATTCCATATGCATTCTTATGAGAAACAGCTCATTGAAATGAACTGTTTAAGAATTATTTCTAGTTGCTAGATGAGAGTTAGTCCCATTGCTAGAGGAATCAATAGTAATTAAGTTTTAAATTCAAGCATTTTCGATACCTTTTTATCTGAGAATCATTTTTCAAACATTATCCTCAATTCTATAAAGGAACATATTGATATACTTTTAACCTTAACAGGGTCTAAAATAATTGGTACTATATGAATCCAAAAGAACTTATCATAAAGATATAAGGCTACCAGCAACAGACAAAAGAAGGCAGCAAGCCATCCACATCAAGTTTTAAGTGTCGGTAGAAGATGATAGGCCAGGAAATGTTGAATTCCGGACCAATGTATGCCTAAGAACAAAATCAGGTGATGGGGAGCCCCTCCTCTCTCTCTCACACACAAAGACACACAAAGCAGAGAGAGAGAGAGAGAGAGAGAGAGAGAGAGAGAGCAAAGGGTTGTGAGATAGAATGGAGGAAAAGACATCTTCAATAACACTTAAATTTGCCAAAATAAACAAAAAGGCAATCCTCTTCAATCAAAGAACAGCAGATATCTTTGATGAGATCACTCACTCTCGTAAGATAGTAGCAAATCGCTTTCTTTCAGACAAGGTAAATCCAGGCTGCCCACAATCCTGCATAGAGGCCATATCATCAGATGATTAATCACCATCCATAAAAGAGAGAATTCTAATACACTATTTGATGTCAAAAAGGCCAAAATTGAAAAGATGCAAGAGCCAATTATCACAATTAGAAGTTGACAAGAAAACTCATTACTCGAATAGTGACCAAGTCAAAAGAGCAGACATGAGGTGAGCGAATAATCTTTTCACCCCTTAGAGTTAAATAAGGGTACATTGTTTGTAAGATAAAGATTCTGCTCCTACAAAGCAATACTTAGATAATGCTCAAATTTCAAGGAAAAATCTAGTTTTTCCCAAGGTGTGAAGTATTCATACAAAATGCATTGGCTCAAATTGATGTCTCAATCTAAAACATCAATACATTTTTTATTCTTTAGTTTCAATCATCAAATATAATATGACAGTAATTTTGAATTAGAAGAGATAAATCTACGCCACAGAGCTCTGAGAGTGAACTGCTTAGACCTCTTTATTTGGCGGAACATAGCCATTTTGTTTTGCTGCACTAAAAAATTCTGGATGACTCACATCAATCTCTTCATGGCTGCAGACAATGAATTAATGAGAGGGGAGAAGAGAAGGGAAATAAAGAAATCTGCTATTTAAAAGTGTGATGATACACTAAAACGACAGAGAATAACCCAGATCAAACAACTCATATAATCGCATAAAATAGGCCTCCAAATAAGATAGCTGCATCAGATAAGACGAAAAAATATTCCTTTGTTTGTTTCAATAAAATATATAGCATGCTCATGACCAAGAGAAAAAATTACATGGCTTTTGTGTCGGGAGGAACTAATTATATCTAAAAGAGCATTAAAAGCCAAATGTTGGCACACGGACAAGTTAATAAAATGTATTCAGTTCCCCCAAATTAAATTTAAGACATGGAAAAACTCTTCACACTTAGATGTCCACCATGTTCATGGAATGAATGTTCAAACTGAGAGAGAAGAAAGAAAGAAAATGTGCAACCAACAGCTAAACTCAGACCAATGCAAACAGAATTCTACAGCTATACGAAAAGGATAGATTAATTGCTACTAGACATCAAAACCCAATATGAGAAGCTGGAATAATGAAAAATAGAGATTGCCTACCTGACATTGAGATCTCCACACCATATTAAAGGCTTATCAGAATACTGAGTAACAAATTCCAGAATCCTTTTGTCCCATTTTCTTCTCCTTTGAAATGAGTTCTCCTCCTCTTTCCATCCATTGTTTGGTGCATAAGTGTTCAATATCCGGAGGGTCTCAAATTCAGCCAAGATTACCCGGCCATCTGGTTCATGCTTTGAAGCTAACCAACGCACACAAAAGTATCATGCTATAAGCAGTAAAGAAAAGCACATATCCCAAATTCCATCATAATAGTTGGAAATATATGGCAGTAAATACATCAAATCTATTTTTTTAATATAGGAAACAATCATTTCAAATCATTTTTAAAAATCAGGTTGAATTTCTCACTCTGAATGACAAGTGATAAAATTGTCAAAAGACAAAAGATTGTTAGAACCAAATTACTATAATAATATGGCCATGACAAATTATATCCATACTGAAAAAAAATGAAGGAAATACCTTTTCTATCAAGATTGAAAAAGACATTTTTTGGCTTGAAGCACTTTTTCACAAGGAGTGCTGTCCCTGCATACTTTGAGTCTGCAAGAGACCACCATATACGATAGTTTCCAAAAGGCAGACTAGAAAGTGCACGCATTAATATCTGCAATGTTTGAGCAAATTGGTGTTCTAGAACATTAGAAAGTAATGCCACGAATACATTGACAGAATATTATATTAGAATATTGCGTTACACATATTCTGCAGTATAAATGATGCTCATGCGTGGTATTACATACATTTTTGTAAGAAAACTAATCATGAATATTAACGAAGAAATTTTGCTTTACTATAACTACAAGCGACCAATTGATCTTCAACTTCAACCAAAAAACATTGAGTATGAGTATCCTCTTTGCAGGATATCATAGAGACAAAATGTTAGGAACAAATAAATGCACTGGAAAGAACTGCTTAACATTCTCACTGAAGTGAAAGAAGCAACAAATATGACCAGAGTCCCCAAATAAAACTATTCATGTATACAGAAGAAATAAGAGGCTCCAGTTACAACTATGGCAATGAGGTTCAACTTTAATTCATTAAGTTTCAACACTTGCATAGATCAACTGCGGACATTTACTATAATGCTCCATGTACAGTCAAATTCACATAAGAACTAAGACATGCTCTGATGCAGGACAAAGGATGGAAATACCATTCATCATAGTGGTGAAAATCAATTAGAAATGGGAGAATTGAGAATAAAACTTGAGAGAAGGGGGAAAAAGAAATTCATCGGAGTCTTTCCTGATATTTCATCATTGATCAATCCTACCAGTTATTTACCTACCAAGACTAACCTGAATAAATTAGTAGGTCAATAAGAACAACATATACTGATATCAATCAAAAACTTACATAATAATTCTTACACATAATTAGGCACAAAAAGACATATTTTATAGGCATAATTTGCAGCAACATAACCTGCTTTTCTTCCCTGGAGGAGCTTGTATCATCTTTCAGTTGTCCTGGATTTTTTGGAGCACTCTTTGAACCAGCAGCAGGCATCCTCACTTCCTAATGATAAACTGCTTTCAGAAAACTCTTATATGATGGTTACTAAGTTTAGAAGCATAAATATGATGTTCAACGAAAACAGAGCAAGATCTTGCATATTTATGAGGGGCGATGACCGCCGGTAAATCGACTGGAAGCTAGCATCTGCTGGATCATTAAACAACATACCAAAGCAGGACCACTTTGATGCTTGAGAGTACTTACAATAAAGTCGTCAACTTTCAAAAAACAGACATCTATTACATTTAACCAAAATGCATTAATGTTTTTAGCACCGAACATAAGAGATCACAGACTTGTTGCTGATCCAGAAGCTAAAATACTTATTTTCCTGCTGAATAACAAAGGCAATGACAATCATCATCATCATTATTTTTTTTTTTTTTTGGAGCTCTAGACATAACAAGGGGAAATTTTCAATATCCCGCATACGATGAGTGATAGAGAAAGAGCCACCTGTATTGCAATGACATCAGGGTCAAAGCTAGTGACTAACTTGGTGAATTCGGGCCAATTGTTCTTCACTCGAAGTAAAAGGCTGTTAGCATTCCAAGTCAAGAACTTTGATGGCTCTTCCTTCTCCTCCCCAAATGTTTCTGTACTTTCACCATCTTCTCCTGAAAACGAGAGGGAGGGCTTCTTCGAAGACCCATCCTTCTGCACTGGTTGAAAGAATCGCTTCATACTCTCTCGTCTTCACAGTGACTGTGAGACAGTGTATGCGGTAGCTCCTCAATAAATAGTTGGAGCATTACAATGAGATAAAAAATAAATAACTTATTATAAAACAAATTTAAGAAGTTTTCTGTCGCTGCTTAAAATATTATTTAGATCTTTTAGTAATTATTTTTTTTAGACGTTGATTATTATTCTTCCTTAAATAATTTCCGCTTCTGTTTCTGTTTCTCGTAGAATCCCCTACATTGTTTATTATTTTCAGGTCACATTTCATCTTTTTAGGTTATATTTGGGTCGCTGTAAACGACAGGATTTCCACCGTCGAGGTCAAGTTTCCTGAACACCCCCCCCCAACAAAAAAAAAACCTCTAAATGGTGAAAAAACTTTGCGGTTTCTGAAGTTACTTTGGTGTGCCTTCTGCCCGCGGACATAATTAACAATTTACTTTCTGTATCAGGGTTTTATGCATTTTTTGAGCCCAGAAAATCTCATGTTTTTTGATATTTCGATGACAGGACTATTTACTTGGGAAAATTCTAAAAAAAACCTTGAAGTTGTCATTTTCTAATTTAACCTCCTAAGAGTTGAAAATAACAGAAAAGGAAATGATGTCTAGTCTAATATTTTAACACATTTGTACTAGATTTGAACCAAACAAAAAAGCTATTAAACTTATCGTCACCAACAAGGTACTGAAAATTAGACCGGCAATTGAACAGGTTAAGATAATGGGTAAAGGATTAGTGGATTAGATCGGAGTCAAACCAAGAATCAAATCGATGAGAAATAAAAAAAATTTAAATTTTCACTAAGAACTATATATCAATTTAATATCTTGAATCACTAGTAGAATAATCACATCCTTATAATTTCTTATAATATCATACTACTAAAATCACTAAATACTCATCCCAACAAAATATCAAAATAGATATATGATAACAAAATATTCTTCTTTATAATTATTCAATCACTAAGTCCTAATTATCAACAACTTTTTAAAAAAATCATCAAAATATTTAAAAAAAAAAAAAAAAAAGAGGTCCTGGGTTAACCCACCAAACCAAGTGAGTTACCCAGGTCATTACCAGGTCGCACCAGTTCAGTGGGGGTCACATTAGCTCAAAGTGACCCTGGTTCATAGGCTCAATCGGACTGGTTTCCTGGCCAGTTCACCTGTTTCAGGTTCGAACTGATCAATACAATCCAGTTTTTAATACCATGATTACTAATATATCTGTCGTTATTGGCTGTTCAACACTTTTCATTTTCAGTTCACAACTTATTAATAAATAACTTGTTATTATTAATACATTTCTTATTATTTATTGTTCAACACTTATCATACCAATTCAGAACTTGTTAATAAACTTTTTGATATGTATGCATTTGAGTCATTTAACTATATTTATAAAATACTAGATTAGACACCACTTACTTCTCTATTGTCTTCAACTCTTGGGTATCTAATTTAGAATATTAAATTTTTCAACTTCTTTATTTGCCATTTCCCTATTTACTTTTTGTTTTTGAGATTGAATAAAAAATTCAATAATGACACCATCAATTCTTTTTTTTTTTTGGGGGCCAACAATGAGACCAACAATTCATATATTTGCTTTTATTGAAATCCTCTTCCAAACCATTATTCAATACATATGTTAAATAATTTATTTATAAAACAAAAAAAAATCCTAATTCTTCTATTTAAAAAATATGACGATACATTCCGTACAAGCACATATATTCTGTCACGAATTTGTTTATTTTCCCGGGTAAATGTCACGTAAGTTAGATTAAAAATATTGATTGAACGGATTCCAAATTTCAGATGCGAATCACTTATTTTTCAAAAGATCAACAGTAATTATAATGAGATTAAAGTGAAATAATATTTGTTTTTACGTGTTGAATACTAACCTAAACTGGTACCTGGGTGGCCGTGTCTAAAGCCTTTTATGAATCACACACATGCCATCCACGAAAGTAACCATTGGTTATTTTTGAAGAGTCAACCAAAAAAAATGGAGTAGCCATCATTTTGCCGCGGGCGCGCACACAGGAACACTTGTACGATGATTAAATGCAAGATCTTAAGAAACATGGAAACCTCTTTATACAGTGCATCATGAGCTCATCATTTCTGACTTAAGTGTTGACATGAAAAGGTAATATGAATAGGCATAATGGAATTGACAATAGCAATAATAGTGAAGGATGCAAAATACTAGTCCTTTGGCAATTTTGTTAGCTCACATACTGCTTCTCAAGGAGACTCCCGCAGAATGCCAAGTCAAATCGCTCCTCAGGAGGGTCCCCAATGAAGTCAAAGACAGCATCAGCGTTTAAGAAATCTTCATCTGCCGTGTAGCTGCACTCACAATGTATTCAATGTGATAAAGATATTATGAGGAAAAGAGTTCGGGAAAGCTGGGAAAAAATCTCTTACTAGAAATTTTATTGGTAAGAAAGACCTGATAAATTTGTAATATCAGTATTCTGCAAATTTTGTAACAATAAAATTTATGCCAAGGGTCTTCTCCCCAGTTTCCCTAAAAATTTTCATGAAATGTGCAATGCCTGACAACGTAGAAATTTAAAAAACTGTAAACACAGTTGCTTCTAGTATAACAATGAAATACTAATTTACCCGCTTTTTGTTACTATACACTTCATCCCTGCTGCTTTGGCAGCTGCTAGGCCTATGGCACTGTCCTCCACCACAACACATCTGAGGAAAATAAATGACATTTTACATTACGTGTGACAAACCGATATAAAAGAAGCTAGTATAAGGTAATAAGTTGTTGGGGATGTTTTGGGGTCTTGCAACTCAAATGACACCAAACACTTCCTTTAAGGCTTTTTTAAGTGTGAAGTTGCGAGTTCAAACCCTCTATGGAGGGTATAATGAGGCCATGAGTTATGACTGAAAAAACAAGTTGTTGGGGTTGCATAAGGAATGACTCGAAAAAGTGAAAGGTTCAACAAAGATTATTTGGATCCCACTCGTAAACATCAATTTCGTTTAGTTTTTGCAATTGCAAATGAATTAACTGGTACGAGAAGCATCTGTAGTGTCTTAACCTTACCAAAATATGTAGAATTGAATGAAATCTCATGCGGATAATAAACTAACAAATTAAGCAGAAGTTGTCACTTATGCATTCCTATGAGATACCTCGAAGATTCAACACCCAAAGTGCTGGCTGCTAATAGATAGATGGCCTGCCAAAAAGAACCACATGCAATTAGCTTCTGAGAATATCCCATATTGTACATCCAATAATTCAGGAAAATAATGCACAGCATAACGCAGGAACATAGCAACGGGTTGGCATAATAGAGAAATTGTATCAGATAAAGTAACTGAATAATCCGAAACTGTATTATAGAGATACGTAGTACTCATGCTTGTGGCACGTTGCATTTAAGAACCCCAAGTTTCACTATCCATTCACTTCTAATTAAATGGAAGTTGGATTTTATATGTTTACATCCTATGCCACCACTGTCTTAATCAAAATTAAGAGAATGAAAACCGTACAGGATCAGGCTTTTTGCGAGGAACCACATCTCCTGCAAAAATCTTGATTTTTTCTGCTCTTTCAGGACCCAGCAAGTTTGATACTATTGCAGAGACCTAAAATTAACAAACAGATTAGTTCTCAGAAGAGTGGCAATCAATAAATAATTTGAAAATACTGTAATATGATATGCAGATCCAATCAGTGGTATCATATAGTTCCCTCAATAATTAATGTAAACAATTGGAAGATTATAAATTATTGATCCTAGTGTAAAAGTTCTTCATAACTGTATTCTATGTATGGTAGCTGAAAACAAAATCTGTTAGACCCTGAGCCACGTAAGAAGGATTAATGGACCAGCATTCCCTTCAGTCATAAAGGATTTATCATATAAGAGATTTGGACCTGATTATGCATACCGCCTTCTCATTGGAAGTGCTGCAAACAGCTACATTGACTCCTTGAGATAAAGCCTGATCAATCAACCTGTATGTTTGATAAAAGAAACAAACAATAAGATACGACAAAGATTAAATTTTTTTCATGATTATAAATTGAGGACATCTTTGTCTTGTAAATAAAACATGAAAATATACCACTCAAACAGTAGTGACTGGTTTTATGAGCAATCTTAGGCTGAAGAGAACCAACCATAAAGAAATAAGTCACAGAAGAGAACTAACTTCGCAACACCCGGACGCAGAGGCAGCAATCTTTTCTCGATAAGGGCCATGAACAGTTCTGTCTTCCTTTTATGGAGAGAAGCTATAAAAAATTTTCTTTCTTCTTCGCTGCTTGGAGCTTTCGCTGGCCAACCTGTCTGGTTAAAGTATGCTGTCATCCTACAAAGAACAGAACCAACAACTTCTGTTTCAGTTATCCATGTCAGCCGCTAAACTCACTAATGGCAGTGACCTATACAGAGATGGAGGCGATAGGTGCTATCACTTCTATTGGAATAATCCGAGTGAAAAGACAAAGTATGGATCTCTTTCTTTGCTTTTGCTTTTTGTTTTTAAATTTTAAAGAAGCATACCTTTCTTTTCCACCTCCAATTTTGAGCAGCTCCCCATACAAGTCCACATCCCAGGTAACGCCTAGTTCCCTCTGTGTCGCCAATTGAATTAGCACAAGTAATTCACATGATTAGGCCCGGCCCAACTTCCAACTTATTGTCAAAGATGAAACAGAGCATGTATCTCTTTCACCGTATTATCAACCACAATAATTTCACATATAAGTCTTCCAATCAAGAATTAAGTTCTTTGGAAGAAGACCCAGTGCATCTTAGAAGTCTTAACATGCCAACAAATGGGCTAAAACAAATGAATTAACTTATCCTTCTTAGTTTACCGGAGTTTCTGTGATCCTATAAATTGAAACGCCCCTCAGACTTAACATTATGAAAGTAGCAATGAATGAAAAATATCATTCTCTCTTAGCTTAATCACTGCGCTACCGCAGAGGATCAATATACCGAAACCCATTGGAAATACAAATGAGTTGTCATTTTTGAGGCTAGTGGTACATTGACTAAACCATGAAAACAAAGACACAAGATAAAGCAGCAATGAAAACAGAAAGAGAAAAGCACTTTTTAAGTACCTCTTGGAAAGTTTCATTGAAGGATATCCTGTGGCCATCTTTCTCGGTGTCTACGAGCACTCCATCACAGTCGAAAAGAAGAGCAGCGGGAAGGGTAGAAGATGGAGATGCTGCTGCACAATTGACACGACAAGGAAGACGTCTCAATCCCATTGGCGTCGTTATTGAGCTTGACAACGTAAGAGTAAATGCGGTTGGGTCCAAGAAAGACGATGTCAGAATATGTTCATGGTCCTTGCGCTTAAAGTTTGCGAGTGAGGATTTTGGGTGAGCTGTTCGACAGAAGAAGGAAGCAGAGGAGATGAAGGTGGTGGTGGAGGACGCCATGGGGAGATCGATTGGATGGGTTTGTTAAGGGAATGTGCTCTTTTGCATATTCCGAAGGCAACTTATCCAGTGTGACGCTCAAGTGTGTTTTCCGGGCGAGCAGCGATCAGAATGGCTAGGTGGGCCCTTTGGATTAATGGTCGGAAGAACACAGACGAAGATCAGGTTGGGGCTTGGGAGAAGTCTCCACGTGGAGGCTTGACCTGACCTTGAGTCGTAATTGACTCAATTCATTCAGACTCGTCTCTATACCCCTCCGTAATTAACTTGCGATGCATGTTGATGGAGGGGATATTCATGTCTTTTTATTTTTCACACGTTTAAAAAATAAGATCAAAAATAAAATTACACTTTTATTATATTAAATACTACATTCGGTTTTTTATATAAAACATAATTGACTAATTTAAAGAGAATATATAACACACACTATAATTTAATAATTTAATTTTTTTAATCTTTTCAAATTAAACACTGGGTTTAGAAAGGACTCTCACCAATAAAGACAACATAAATTGAATAATTTTTTTTTGGGGGCTAAATCCCTTTATTATCCAATGCTTTTTCTGGATCCTGATTTTCTTTGGGTCAAGTATCTAAGCAACCAATTAGTTTAGATCGAGAAACAGAGTACATCTTTATTTACAAGCAGCTCCTCTCCCAACAAAAGCGCTTCCCAGGAATCAAAAGATGTTTGGATGAAACCAAACCGTGGTTTGGAAAAGTAATTCTGAAGAATAGATTCTGTAAAAAAGTGATTCTGAGAAGTGAGAGTGTTTGGATAGTTGTTATCAGAAGCACTTTTTATATATACAAATTACTAAAAAAAAGACATAAGTTAATATGATAATTACAGAAAAAATAAATTTTATGATATATTTTAATTTGAAGGAATAAATTGTTAATAATATATTTTTTACCAACATAATTAATAATACATAAGATAATATAATTAATAAATAATTAATGTGTATATATATTTATAAAATATAAGATTAAATATGTTTATAAAAAAATATGTTTATAAAAAAAATAACAAGATATATATCCTATAGGCTCTCATACTCTCCTTTTTTTCTCCAAAAGCAAAAAAATTTTGCTTTTTCCAAAACCATGGTTTTAAAACCATGGTTTTGGTTTTTAGAGGGGGTGTTTGGGTGATTGACACCCAAACCATGGTTTGGGGAACCATGGTTTGGGTGTCACCCAAACACACCCTTATATTCTCATCTTACGAGATTGAGACCACTAGCCATTTCAACCAACCGCTTATTGGTAAATTGAATGAATTAAAAAAGCCAACTCTTCTCATAATAAATTATTATAAGATCACTTTATCATTTATAATTATGTCAAAAATAGCACATCATAATCCGCGCAGTAGGATCATATTCCAATGAAGCCATTTTTTTGCCCTTCCTGAGAACCGAGAGGAGGTTAATTACGAACAATTGAGATTGAGACAAAGGCAAAAACGAAGAGAAACGGTGCAAAGAAATACAATACGTTACTATCTAAAATACTTGTTGATACATTGTCATCCTAAAACGCTGTCCATGGAATACAGGACCAACTTTATACAACGACTAAGATATGGATCTCTGTCGACAAGATGATTCTGGAAAAGGAGACAAGTAAACAAACAGCTAACAAGGAACATCATGAGTTTGCCCTCCTCTTTTGGCTTGAATCCTCAGGAGTCTGTTTAACCATCCCGGAATTATATAACATGCGCAGGAACCTTTCCATAAGGAGGCAGAACCTAACGAGCAGCGTACATGAGAGAAGCATTAAAAATGACTGTCCTGCTCACACAAGGCCGCAGCTTTGGGGCAATTCAGGCATCTGGAGAATCAAATGAAGGTAAAAGCCAGCCCTTGCTTGTGGCGTGCTCCACGTAGAAGGCGAATTTCTCACGAGCATTCGGAATGTCAAGAGCCAGATCGTCAAGACCATCCTTGATGCGAGTGAAGCCTTTAGTCATCTGATTGATAGTGATCAGACCTTCACTGAAGCACTCCTGCAGCAGATCCAGCATCCTGTCATTCTTCTTCTCCATAGCCATGACCAAAGCTTTCTTCACCACCTCATGGTTAAAGAAAGGCATTCCAAGATCACGAATACACTGGCATGCTTCACTGACCACACCCCCACTTTCATACTCCTCCAATAGCTTCATGATCTTGTCCTTAGCATCCTCCACAGCCCATCCTGTACCCCCACCCCAACATCTCAATAGCCTCTCACCGGCATGACGAGCTGCAATGAGTGATCGAGCCATACGCACGGTTTCACTGCCACTGCATTTAGGCGGCAACCTGCTGCCAATTTCTTCTAAATTGAGAGGGGCCAATACATCATCAATCACAGCCCGAGCTAAAAACAGGGCGAGTTCATTTGAAGCATCCAATATATCCAGTGCAGTATCTTCAGCGCTTTCCAGGAGCATGACAAAACCATTAACTATATCCTCTGTGGAGAATATCTCTATATGGAGAGCAGATAGTAGTACTGATGCCATTTCCTTTTCTCTGTTTTTTCTGTCCATAGCGAGAGTAATTAGTTTCTTTAAAAATATTGGGTTAAACTCGGGTGCTCCAAGATCTTCAAGACTCCGAATGAGTTCAGGAATATCATCAGAGAGAAAATACTCATGAATTATAGTTACTGCCTCTTTTTTGTAGTCCCTAACTTTTTCATCTTCAACTGGGATATCCCCATCTTCACCAGAGGGCTTAAAAAATGAAGCATCAAGCCATCCTTCAGATATCGCTCTGGGTACCAATGACTGAAACAAAGTTTTGGCTGACGGAATATCAAGAGCAAGATCATCTAGGCCTTCCGCCAAACGAGAAAAACCTTTCACCATTTGACTGGAACTAATGAGGCCTTCTTCTGCTGCTTCTTTTAATAACTTCAACATTAAAGATTCCGCTGAACGGATCTCCATGGCAAGTACCAGAGCCTTCTTCACAACCTCATGATGAAAGAATGAAACCCCCAACTCCCTTATGCACCTGCAGGCTTCAACTGTGTCACCACTCTCAACATATTCTCTTAATAAATCAGAAATCTTCTTCTTTACTTCTTCAACAGTGATGTGAGTGCTACCACCCCATCGCCTCTCTACAAGCTCTGCATGATGCGGAGCTGAGAGATAACTCTTCTCTGCAGTCTGGATAACCTGAAACCCCTTGGATTGCTCAGGAAGTGCTTTTCTTGCCCTGGCAAGAAAGGCTGGAGGAAGGATATCATCAACAACGGCCCGAGCCAGAAACAAAGCAAGGATGTCAACAGCATCCAGTATGTCAACCGCAAGATCATCAGCAGATTCAAGAAGCATAAAAAATCCATCCCTAATCTGTGCAGGACTAATCACATCAGCATACAATGCTGAAAGCAAAACAGAAGCCATTTCTTTCTCCTTATCATGCCTGTCCATGGCCATAGACACAAGGCGCTTGATAAAGTATGGATAATATTCACTAGAACCAAGTTCTCTGAGATCAGAGGCAGCTAATTCCACATCACCCGTGCTGAAATATTCCTCGATGGTGGAAACAACTGCCTTCTTGAATTCATCTAAGGGGTCAGTGACAGTAGACCCGACCAGCTGATAGGGTTCCTACAAATGTAAAGTGTATTCAAACAACTAACGTTACATGCTTATTAATGTAACCCATTTGAAAACTTAAGGAAAACAGAACCCAGGAAAAGGAAAAGGAATTATCCGCAGGCAACAATTAACAACTACATGAAATTTAAGGAATATAAAAATATACAGACTACAAAAAGAAAAGACTTCCTCGGTGCTGTAGCTGCCAACAAAAACAGAAACAGCAATTACCTCACCACTATCATAATTTGGGTCCTTCCTGTCTATACGAGATTCACCGTCAGTATCAAGCAGTTTTCCCCAAGTGCCCTTACCACCGGCACCATCTGCATTCAAAATAAGGAAAACATCAAGTTTTTCTGCTGAGCATATTAAAACTCAAAATAATTTCGAGATCACATAATAATAAAAAAATTCAAAACTGCTAATTAAAAACACAACATATCCATGACACAATGATAACAACTGATGACCCAAAATTTAAAAAGAAGAAGAAGACATAAAGAAATGCTCAGAACTCCGAAGCACTCAGATTATACTGGTTGTGTTATGCAGATCAGTTTCCTCCCAGCCAGTTGATGGAACTGCAGACTGGCTGGTTAAAAGGCACACCTGAAGAAAACAAATCACGTATAATAGCATAATACAACACTTCAAGACATAGTTGGCCATCAAAATTGAGAAGTTTCTCTTGCACACAAAAATGAACAACATGAGGGGAATTGGAAGTAACCTGGTTAAATCATACAGCCCATTCTTCTCATGGCAAAAGAAAATTTATCAAAGCTGATGTCAACAAGGAACATAAATACAGCAGTGGCTGGAAAATGATTCTGTTTATCAACCTCCTAAAAAATGGAGAGGCTAATTCATGGAACTATATCATAAAATCGCAACCCTTCCAATCAACAGCCATAGTCCCACAATTTTTTTTTTTTAACTAAACTAATAAGCAACTAACTATCTCAGAGTAAAAAGAAAACCCCCAAAAGCTCCATCAGACTAGTTCAAATTAATCATATATAGCCAGTCAACTCAATCTCACTGGACTTTGGAAGATCCAAAAATTCGTCTATCGGTCAAGGAGATAGCACCTCCACAACTTAAAGTTCCTTCCCAGATATTCAACATCTTATACATGAATATTGTGAAAAACCTGTAAATAAATAAATAAATGACGAATTCACGGGCCACAAACTCACCCTTCTTCACCCGCACAAGCTTTCCAGAGTGTGATCGCCGCACATGCCTCACAGCAATCCCAGCAGTTTGGGCCTTACTACCAGCAGGAGCTTTTATATGATGGTCAGCAACAAAGGATGTGGGAGATTTCGGGGATGACGATAAATTTTCCACATTATTGTTGGCAATTTTTAGCATTTCCCTCTGCTCATCTGTCAGAAATCCCTCGCCTGAAGCCATTCGTGGGAAAAGGAATATCCAAGCCTGCACAGACGAATTACTCTCATTAAATTATTAGGAACCAAAACAGCAGAGTACGGATGGACAGGGAAAAGGGACGTTTTATTTGCTTAAGTGAATATGGAGAAGAAAGAAAAAAAGTAAATCTTCAATTAATCCAATTTCGCAATAAATCAAATCCGCTCAGCATGATAAAGTCGTAAAATATATTATTGTCCCTTTATCTCCACAAAGAAACCAGGAAAAAGAAAAGTATAGTAAACGCTAACATGAACACTTGCACATGCACCGCCTTAGTTTTAAGGAAAGTTACACGGCAAATAGTTATCCCCCAAGAAACCATGTGCAGGCTGCGCGTTTCTCAACTCCTCATCACTAAACAAGAGTCCACAACACTAAACGGCGGCTCCATTTTACTTTACCCAGCCAATCACCGGCAGCAACCAAACAGAGTATCACCACAAACTAAAATAAGAAAGAAGAAAGAAGCAGAAATGACTCAAAAGGAAGAGGCCGACGAGAACCTGTGAGCGGTTGAAGATAGTCAAATGCAAATCTGAATCCGATTCTTCTGTGCTTGGCCCGGATCTCGAGCCAAGACAGGAGAAGCAACTGGATTTACAAATCGGTCCCTCCGAGTCCAACAGTAATAACGCCCCCTTCCACTCAACCAGAAGAAACACCAGAGAAGAAGATCCAAGCGAGCAAGCTCCTGAAGAACCCAGACAAAATCAACACACACGATATCCGAACCAAAAGGGATCCAAATTAGAGGGTTTTAGCTATCTAATCCCCCTGCGGAGGCAGTGTCCCCGGTCGGCGTTGGCGTTACACAGCGAGAGAGAACGGGGTGAGAGTGAGAGAGGAGAAGAGAGAGAAAGAAAGAGAGCGAGATGGATGAGAACGGAAAGCAAAAGGATGAGAGACGAGGGTTGGTTTATATATGGAGGCTACGGTTACGTGTGCGCGTCACCATTTAGAAGGTTTTTGGGTTTGGGCCTGTTAATTCTTACTATATCCACGTGGCATCCTCGCTAAAGCAAGTGTTAACTATGTGGCCTGTCTTTAGCAGCCACGTGCCTCCGCGTCACCGGATATGACTTTACTTTACAAAACTACCCCTAAACCCTAAACCCGGATATATATGAGGAGGAGCTTATCCTTTTTTTTTTTTTTATTTCTTTTCCTATTTTTCGTTTTGTTTTTAAATTGTTTGCTAATAATGTCTATATTTCTTTTTCTTCATTTATTACATGCTAATGATTGAAATCTCGAATAACAATTTTGAAAGGAAAAATCATTATGCATTAAAAATATTTATTTATTATAGAAATCATGAAATTTAACGTTCTTTTCTTATTTTTCTTTTGGTTTTTAAATTTTCTACCAAAAATTCTTTATTTCCTATTCTTCATGTCCTACAGGCTCAGGATTGAAATTACAAATAGAAACAATTCTGAAAGGAAAATTCATTATGCTGAATTTTAACATTCTTTTGAAAATTTAGAAGACACAGATTTTTCACTAACATGAACAATATTGAGGGAAATCTATTAACACAGATGGATTGGTCAAGTAGATGAGGTGCTTCTCGATTTTATTTTTTTTTTCAATTCAAATGAAATGGTTTTGAAAGAAAGAAATATCATGCGAGAGGCATATGCTTCTTTAATATAACAGAGTACCTCATTAAATTTATTATATGACTATATAATTTTGTCTCTAATTTGCTTTTAGAATATTATTTTCTTATAAAGTACATATATTAAATGAGAATAAAATTAAAATGTTATTAAATTTTAAAATGAAGTTAATAAAACTTAAACTTTTTTTAATTCCAATAAAATTACCTAATAAAAGTGCTTTATAAATAAGATTGGAAGAGCAAGTCATTTCTTGTTTGTGTACCGCTTTCCTTTCAAGTGCACTTTAGAAGTTAGCAGCCCCGGTCTGGAGAATTATTGAAAACCGGATGTGTGGGGTCAATAACATGAAATATGTTTCCTATGGTTAATTTTTTGTGCTTAAAAAGAGTGAGAGTATGAACAAGACAAATTTACACAGCCAGAGGAACCGGCAACGGATGGAATCTGATAACATTATAACTCGAAAGACAAATTTCTCACTATCTGATACAATATTCGGGTCTTCTCTTTCTTTGTAAATATTATGAGTTTATGACCCCCACGAGAAAACTCAAAAAAAAGCCAAGAAAAATCAAGAAAACTGACAAAATGAAGAAGTAGGTTGAAAGCTGAACTTATCCTCAAATTTTTCCTTCCCCCCCCCTTTTCCTATTCCTATCACCACGGTAATTTAGGATCCACTTGGAATCACTTATAAGGAACTCTTCGATCATAATTTACGAAATACTAGGTAAGTATATGAAATACTATCTCCGGTCCTAATTATAAGAACTAATTGACTAATTTGAAGAAATTAAAGAAATAAGTTAAGTTAGTTATTTGTAATAAATAGATGTTGCTTTTTCTAAAATATCATTGCTAATCAAGTGTGTTGGCTAGAACTCCTATTATTAGAAGGACTATCTTAGAAAAAATGTATAAATATTAGAGACAAAATGGATTGAGGTCTTATATTTATGATCAAAATAAAAATCAAACAAAATTTTATATTAAGAACTGGAGGTGGTAAGTTTTAGTTCAATGAAATGTAGGTACTTATAATCGCTAATCCAAATCAACCCTTAGACTTGGGTGCTATTATTTTTTTTGCCAACTACTTGGATGCTGAAATGAATATATATACACACATATATAATTTAGTTTAATTTGGAATACTTATATTAAAAATGTTACTAACTTATAAGCACATGTTTGGATTGCCAATGGAGGGGGAAAACGTACATTGGAAATGATGAAATGAAGGCTTGCGGTTGTGGGTGAGTTAGGGTTTTTGGGTTGTTTGGGTGGGTTTTTTTTCTAATCAACTTTTGCTTTAAAAATTGGTTGTGGTAAAACGCTCAAATGTTGAGTTTTTGGAGTTGCCAACATAGAGAGAGAAAGCAAATGAGGATGAAAAGAAAGATAAAGGCATTTAAATGGGTCCAATCTTAATTCAATAAGTTGATATTTTTTTTAGTGATAATTTAATTTTTTTATTTATTATTTTTCTTAAATTGATCAAATTATATACATATGATATACCATCTCAGGTCCTTAATATAAAACCCAATGAACTAATTTAAAGAAATTATAAAAGTTAAATAGATTACTTAATTATATTGATCTTTCTAAAATATTTATGCATATCACTACATTGCAAATCAATTTATAAGTTAAGTAAACTAGTTTCAAGAAAAACAATCCCCTTTCAATCATTTTACTTCTGAACTTTTTTTATATTATTTATCCAAACAAGTTTCAATATATTTATAAAAGTCAATCTAAACATAAATAACATTATACTAACTGACTTTTATCTTAACTTATATTTGCAAAAGTTAGATGAAATAAAAGCCAAGTTTACTACCGTTAATCCAAACAAGACTATTTTTAAAAAGCCTAGACTATAAACCAATGCTTTGGTTGAAATTTAAAAAGAGTCAACCGGCTTCTTACTTATGCCATGTGTACCTTTAAATTCTATATTTATATGGGATAACATAAAAACTCTAATGCTCGATCCAATTAATTAAATTCTATGTATCAAAAAGTTGATTTAAATTAATCAAAAATAATAAACATGTAAGAAATATATTTTTAAAACATATTCTTATTTTTTTAAAATGTTGAATGAGAGAGAATGAGTGTAAGAAAAGATTAAAAAAAAAAAAGAATGTGTGAGAAAAGAAAATGAAGTAATTAACGCATAATTATGTGATTAATGAAGGTAAAAATGGAAAAAAAGTTAATTAAAATTTCATACATGCAGCAAATGTAACTTACAAAATGCATCAATCTTGTTTTAAAATGGAGCAGCGATTCATATCATTTTTTTTTACCTTGAATCCATAATATCATTTATGCACAAGTCTCATCCGTTAAATTTCAAATATTAATTTTCATAGAGAAATAGTAAATAATATTGATATTGAATATGTTGAGTACCAATTAAACAATTTAAAAAATTAAGTACTACTAATGCTAAGATTAAATCAGACAGATGTTATCCAAAGTTGGACACTTCTATCATACGCGAGAAAATTGAGGTTCTTTGTGGAGCAAGAAAAAAGGAAGAAGAAAGAAAGAAAGGAGGGTTATTAATGACGAATTAATGCTTGCTAAATGGACAACAATGAAACCAACTTGAGTAAAATATTTAATGATGGTACGGAATAGCATCATCAAGCGCATTAATAAACCAGTGCTAATTACTCAAAGAAATAATTAAATATATCTTTTATTTTTAAAAAAATATAATGAATCTAATTTCTTGTGCTGGATCCCTATCATTTGAGTTTTGATCTTATCTTCTTATGATTCTCTCAAGATGAAGCTGCCGCACCATTATATATTCATACATTTTTTCAAAAAATAAAAAAAAACCTTAAAATAAAAAAAATTACACATAAGAACCCATTACAACATTAGTATAACTTTGCACAACAATTGATAAGCAAATTACTACCTCCGGTCCCTAATATAAGACCTCATTTAATTTTTATTTCAATCCTAAATATAAGACCTCAATCCACTTTATCTCTCATATTTATCCTTTTTGTTCAAGACAGTTTTTCTAATAATGACAGTTCTAGCCAATAAACTTGATTAGTAAGAATATTTTAGGAAAGACAATACTTATTTATTACAAATAACTAACTTAATTTATTTTCTTACTTTACTCAAATTAGTCGACTGGTTCTTATATTTAAGATCGGAGATAATACAATAATTTTTGTGAACAAGTTCCTGTATATAATTTTTTAATTCCTAAGGTCTTTTTTGCGATTTTCTCTGCTTTTTTGTTTTTTAGCCGGATATATACTTATACATTTCAGACTTGAGTTAAATCCCATGTAAAAACAATTGAGAAAGCTTTTTACCAGGTAGCAAACGCTTTCTACTGACAAAAAGTCAACTACAATGCCTTTTTTTTTAAAAGAAAAAAGGATTTTCCCAACTTAAAACTGGTCGATATAAATTCTATTGAAACAAAATCGCAACAAATAATAAATTTCTCCATCATTCCTTGTTACATAGACAAATTGGTTTACTACCTTAATAGCAAGTTTCATTAAAGTTACAGAAAAAGGAACATACCTAAAAAACAAAATAAATCAATATTCTCATAGACAATAGTATTAATTTATTTCACGTTGACTATATTATTACAGAATATGCTTTCCATTTCTATTTCGTTATTATTTCATACCAAGAATCACAAACTCAATTTAATTCATATTTAAAAATTATTATACATTAGATAGATACGAATTCAATATTTATTGCATTATACAAATAATAATAAATAAAAAATAATTTTATTTTAGTGACAAAACGTACTTAATGTTATACCTTATTGTCTTGTCAAAAAGATACGTGCGCCTGTGTGTGTGTGTGTGTTACGTAACATGAAATTTATAAGAAAGCCGTATTATTCATAAATCATAAATAATGTAACTAAATTTAGTCCTCATCCTGGGCATAAACCCTCAATTTTGTTAAGATAACATGCCTTTCCATATTTTTAAAAAATTCAACTTAACATTTTTAAAACGAGAAACTCCAAAACCTATACATCGAGCAAATTCCAACTTCATTGCCCTTTTGTCAAAAAAACAAACTTCAGTGCCCTACCCCCGACGAAGATGGAAATTGGCACGCAAGTCATAATCCCAAATCTGACTGACTCGGCCCATTCTCACGAACCAACCCCATAAAATTTCTTGTCCCGCTCCCGACTGCAATCGGTAAGCGCAGGAATCGGGAATTCCTTTCATTATGGACAAGTCAAACAAGTTGCAATGGAATCTGATTCCAAGGTGCTGGCAGAGAATATCAACAGGGATTCTCTTAATAATGTCAACTGCATCTTAGTGCAACAGGGATCAAACGTATGCCTAAGTTTCAGTGGACTAGAATCATTAAGCAAGTGCCACGAGGCCAGATTATGGTGGTTTTTAAACTTGCCAAAGGTTTCCAGTGCTCCTCCTTTCATGATACGGTTCCTGATTTCCTAAGGACGCTGGTGCAGAAAGAGCCTATGGGATCGTAGTCCCACTTTTCTAACTTTAATCGCTTGCTTTTTTGTTTCTGGGCGTAGCCCACCTTTTGTTCCCAAAACAATAATGAAACAACTACCACTAAGTTGCAGTAAACTCAAGTCAAAATAACAAGAAGGACGTCACTATTGACGGGCCGTACGAGGGCATGTCTTGCGCCTAGCCTCAAACTTAAAATCATGAAGATCTTGATATCGACATTATATTAGAGAGCAATTTAGTAGTGGGGACGGAGAAATTGAACTTACAATGCTCAAGGGCATTTCAAAGTTTCCCTTGTGGCACAATGGGACCAGAACCGGGTTGTCTTGTATGTTTTTTCTTGTATTTCCAGAACTCATCTTTCTTCTTCTTCTTCTTCTCTTTAACCATGCCCATCTTACTGTTAATTATACCCAGTATAGCACTTTTATCCTTCCTGTTTTTCGTGGCGGCTCTTACATCCAGAATGGCCCTAAGCTTCTTGTAAGATTCGGGATCTGGAACTTGTCCACTTTTGACCATCTTCTTGTGATAAAAAAAAGCCCGCTTGTAATCCCTAACACGAACATAGGCATATATCATCGTTGAATAAGTTACAGAATCAGGTTTTAGATTCAGAGCTGCCATCTCTTTCAACAGTTGTGGCAACTTTGAGTGCTGACCTCCTCGCGCATATGCGTTCATCAGTATATTATATGTCATCACTGTCGGGTGCAATCCAATCTTACCAAATTCAGATATTACGTCCCTTGCTTCAACGTAGTGACCTTGTTTAGCAAATCCATCAAGAAGAGTATTGAACGTAACTCGCGTTCCTTCGATTTTGTCACTCATCATCAACTTCCATATCTTCATTAACGTCTGGGTATCACCAGCACGCCTAAATGCATCCAGGAGAGCAGTGTAGGTTTCTATGGAGGGTTTGAGGCCCTCTCTTTGCATGTTCTCAAATGCCATGTAAGCTTTCTCGTGCCAACCACTAACTGAATAAGCATGAATTAGAGCTGTGTAAGAATGTGAAGTGGGTTTTATGCTAGCTTTCTTCATCTTCAGGAATGCGTCTGCAGCCATGTCACTCATTTTCTTCTGCTTCCCATAAGCACTGATTAGACAAGTATATGATTTCGCATCTGGATTCAGGCCAGCATCCTCCATTTCTACCATCAACTTCTCCACAACCTGAGGCTGCATTCTTCTGCTGTATGCATACATTAAAATGTTAAATGTAGCTGCGGTGGGCTTAATCCCTTTAGCTTTCATCTCGGCAAAAAGGCCTTCAGCTTCTTCTATGTAGTTGGATTTACAAAATGCATCCATCAGAGTGTTGTAAACAATCGCATTTGAAGAGACTCCTTTTGTTTCCATTTCTGACTGTATGATGAGAGCTTCCTTAATCAACCCCTCATCACAAAATGACTTGATTAATGCACCCAAGACTTCCTCGCTCCATCTGACCCCTTTTCTGTTCATTTTCTCAAAAAATTGCCAAGCTTCTTTCGCAGAATGGCCAAGTTTTCTAACTATTGTAATCACAATAGAGCACGTCACGTGATCTGGACGTATATTATCATGTTCCATTGACTCATATAGTTTCCAGGCATCTTCATACCTACGATAACGAGGCAGCCATCAATAAAAAGGTCTTGAGATATGAAGTTTTAAAAGGAAATGCTACCCAAATCATATTTTAAAATGTCAAAGTTCGAAAGAAGGAATTGAACGGAATAATTCAAATTATTTTTCCTACAGTTGTACACGACTTGAAGTTTGGAAGCGGCAATGGGTCCTTACACAGATGAGATTATTTGCAATATCTTAATTCTACAAGAAATTGCTCAAAACATTTGTGCTTAGCTGTTCATAGGCTTCTTAATTACCACAAACTTACCAAGAATGCGAAGAGAGAAAAATTATCACAAATAACAGGAAAGGTTTCCAGTCCCCACTCTATCAACAGACACGCCGATCCACAAAATATGCATCAAAATGAAATGCGCAGACAAGTTAACTTCTAGGCAAGCACAACACGTAAAACCTCCAAGAATTTCATACCTTCCACTATACAAAAGGCCTGAAATCGCAGCATTATAAACACGAACATCTCTGAACTCATTGCTGGACGGTAAGTTTCTGAAGAGAACCATCAACTTATCACCCATCCCTGCTCTTCCTAACACAGGAAACAACACACTACATGCCCGAGGTGTAACAAGTGATGGTTCCTGCAATCTCATCCACTCGAAGAAATACAAACAATCAAATAAACGACCTTCCTCCCCAAGAAATCCCAACACCTTCAGGCACTCTGTCTTATCAACGCGTCCCTCATAACCGTTCAAAACCTCCCCTAGTGTCAGATTTTCCGGTATGTTTCTTGCAATTTGAACAATCTCCCCAACAATGCCCTCAAGCAATTCCTTCCTCGCCCTTGTCTCTTCCTTTTCCTCAACAACTGAGTATTCGGAACCCAAATTAACTTCGGTTTCTTCAACAGACTCGGCATCTGAAGCAAGATGCCATGAAACGCGACGGTTCTTCTGGAGGGTGAATTTTCCTTCGTTCTGAGGGTCTTGGCCAGTGGTTGAAGTGCGAGACTTGAAGAATCTGTAAATTGGATCATCTGGGTCCTCTGTCTGTTCTTGCTCTGCCACCGCTTCTATGTCTTCTTTGTTCTCCTCCTCATCCCTTCGTCGTTCTTCTTCTTCAAGTAACGGAAGAAAAATGGAGCCTGAAGACTCAGAAACATCAGCTGGTAATGCTGCAAAACATAGCGAGAACAAGTTTGGGGTTTTAGATGACAAAAATAGGGAGGGTTTTGAAAATTTGTGAGGTGAATTAAACGGGCGAACGAAGATGCGTGCAGGCAGGAATTGGTGATGGATTAGAGCCATGGCTCCAAACAGATTATCTCCCCATTTGATTTTTGTACTTTTTGTTCGTGCCTGTGGAGTCCGTGCTCACTTATTTTAGTGGTACTCTTTCTGCAGTAGTTCACTACATAAATTTTAAAAAAAAAAACTTCAAAACTTTATTAATTTTTAGGTTTAAAATATATTTAGCATCTTAAACTATTTTTCTAAACACGTTTAATGTCTTAAAATAATTTTTGATATATCTAATATCATAAATTAATTAAAATGGTGCATCTACATTCTATCTCAAGTTGACAGAAACGTTATATTTGACCGTTAACTTTCTAACTCAACTTAAAATTGACCCTAAATATCCTACATGAGAGACACATAAACATCGGATGTATATTATTATTACTCAAAATTCAATTTATTTTCTTCCTCTTCTTCTAACATTTATTTTTCTACTAGTTTAAAACTTAAAAACTGAACACCACCGATCCAGAGCAAAGGAGAGAAAAGATTAATGGATTGAAAGCAATAGAGGGGAAAAAAATTAGGGTTCAAGGCTTATACGCTATCTAGCTGGCGAGTGAACCTGGAGGCGTCGATCGATTCAGAGTAAGAAAGGAAAAAAGTGAGTGTTCAAACATAATACCCCATCTAGCAATGGCGAACCAGGAGGTTTTGATCAATTCAGAGCAGGAAAGGGAAAAAGTGAATGTTCAAACCTGTTCCTCATATGTCACTAGTGAAGTTGAAGGTTTTGATTGATTCAGAGCTAGAGAGGAAAAAAGTGAGCGTGGAAACCTTCTACCCCATTAGTCACTGGCAAACCTAGATTTCTATTTCTATTTCTATTCTATTCTCCTTCGCAGGTGGCCTTATAGTCCTTGAAACCTTCTCCTTTGTCTATTGCAATCCCCTTCTACATTTAGATGTTCAATGGGTGAATCAAATTCTTATTCAACGGTGACGAGCAGGAGCAAGATTGCTTTGGTGAGGCAAGTTAAAGTGGAGACGGAGTATGAAGGGCGGGAAAGGTTTTGTCACTGTGGTGCATTGGCTCCTAAATGGACAACTTGGAGTGAGAAGAACCCTGGTAGAAGATTTTATGGGTGCCAAAAATACAACCAAGTAAGTTAAGTGCATTATAATACCATTTGGAAATTGGGTGAAGCTAAACCTGTTAGCCATTTTTGAGAGACATACTGTTCTTTTAAAATTTGTCCTGGTCATATCGTTGCTTTTTTTTTCAAACCAAGCTGGTCATATTGTTGCTAGTATTGATATTCATATTTGTTAAGTTCATATTGAGAATGTGGTGATTTTCCAAAATAAATTGATTCTGGGTATATTCAGTTTTGCAAAAGATATTTATAATAAATTGTTGAATTTGTCAAGGACAAGGATGTGGTTATTTTAGTTAGCATGATAATGAAATGGGTCAGAAATCAATTAAAGTAATCACTAAGTTATTAAATCATATAGATTCATTGTATGATGAGAATTTGAGACTGAAAAGAAGACTTGGGGGTGTTTGGATAGAAACCAAACCATGATTTCAGAAGTGATTTTACGGTTTACGAAGTAAATATGTGGAGGAGTTTGTCTCGTTTTGCAAAAAAGTGCTTTTGAAATCATGGTTTGGAAGTTGCCAAACACCCCCTTAAGGGTGAAGGCTTAGGTGCAAAGATGTGTTGAATATATCAAGAATTGAACAAGATGGAAAAAAGGCATGCCAAGTTTGTAGCTGCAGCTGAAAGTGGGCGGAAAAAATGAAAATAGTGCAACTTGCTTCATGGTTGTCTTGGTTTTGTTTTTTGTTTTTTTTCCCCCTTTAAGGTAGTGATGATGGGGATGTAAATTTGTGTTATGTGATAGAACAAGCGCTGAATCATATTATTGCCCTAAAATGTTTGAATGGAACAAATGCTTCATTTTGTTCATTATATTGAAAGGTTAATGTCACTATGACATTGAATAGAAGTTCCTTCTTTTTATTCTCAATCCTTTTGACACTTGTCTTCGCCATTTGACCAAGAAAGAGGCAATTATAAATTAAGATTTAACCTTATATGATATGCTATTGGCAATATAATTACATTTAGCATTCATTCCTCATAATTGAAAGCAATCCTGCTTCCATGGTTTAGCTGTTAATTTAACTATAATTATTAAAAAAAATCAACAGACATGCGTTGTTTTGGAGTTTGATGGCAGAACCTTGCACAGCAAGCTCAGCAGGCTACCATATGATTGCCACAACATTGCATTAAAAAACGAAGCATTACCTGAACAAATGATGCTGCATACCCATTGAACTGCATAATTTGCTCAGTTTCCACAGTCAGTAGTGTTGTATTCAAACAGCTAGAAATGATGGCACAAGTTTTGAAATAAAAAACATTCTGTGTAGGAATAATTTTGACCTCAGAATGTAAATTTTAATGCTAACATAAACCCAGACAAAATATTTGCTCATCCTTATTTGTGACGTATCTTTCCACTTGCAATTTTCCTCAGTTATCTCACTGGAAACAAGAAGCAGATAATTTCAGTGATTTCAAATAAGTATATTAGTACTACAGTTTCATCGAAGATTATTACAAGTGATGCTTTTAGTTACATTTGAGCCAAATGCTCCCACACCTCAAGTCGTCAAGTTAATATTCTCTGCTTATGAAAATGCATATATTTCCATCGTATTTACCCCGATACCTCAGAGGTCAAAGTCTGAAACAATTGTCACTCTCTTGCGTGTCTTCACCGGTTCATCAACAAGTATCCACAATCAACTTCAACAAATTTTTCGCCTTTTCAGGAAAGACCACTACCAAAATAATACTTTTCTTCAGGGAAACTTATACTAGCATATGACACATGTATTTAGTAGCACAAATTATCTCACCAATCTTCCATATAATTTTGTCTTGGTTTCTTCTAATTCACAGAATTGTAGACCTGTCAGTCAAAAGGCTGAAAATAACAACAGCCTTCATTGATAATACGCAAGAGCAAGAGGAGCAGCTTCCGTAATAATACAAAATGGAAGCAAAATGAAGTAAAAGACGTTATATCAATGTTGATTGCAGGAAATGGTTTCCAAATATGGTTTCCATGATACAAAACGAGACGTTGCTAATGCCATAATCATTTACATCAGTAAGGATCTAAAGGTTCTGGTGAGAACAAAATCAACACAATAATAAATAAAAAGTAAAATTATATAACCATATAAAAAATTTTCTTCAATATCTTTTAAATAAGACTAAAAAAATATCTTTTTTTATCTTATAAATAGAACGAGAAGAATATTATTTTGGTTATGTACCAGTCATTTGGTTGGAAAAATATTAGGAAAAAAAATGGTTGAGTGGAATTTTTTTTGGCCGTTTCTTATATACGTCCAGATTTCACCGTACTCACATGCGTAGTGAAATTTGGTGAGTCAGAGAAATTATACAAAAGAATACTTGCAAGAGATTTTCTTTCTAATTTGAAAATTATTTTATCAATTAAATCATAAACAAAAGGAGCAATATCAATTACTGTATTCTTTGACCCAAAAAAAAAAGCTGAATTTAAACCTCTTGTATCTAGTCATACTCTTGTATTGATTTTTTCTATAATTAATGCATTTTAATTGTTTTCTATTAAAAAAAAACAGTAGATTGTAATATTGTATACCAGTAAGAAGATGGGCGACCCAAAAAGAAAAAAAAAGAGAGAATTTTTTTTTCTTCAGCATACAAATTATCTGACGTAGCTTTTCCAGGTCTTCATCCGGGGATATCTTGCTTTTTCAAGCTGAGCTGGATGAGGGCTTGCCTACATCCTTGACGCACCCGAAGTTAATCACACAAAATCCGATTCAATATGAGATCAATACGTTCTACTAAAGATGCAGAAACTGAATTATAGAACATCACTGAGTCAAAAGTGAGGCAGCTAATTTTCTCGATTCAAATGTTTATTGTTTGTTGCAAAAGAAATAACATAGATGAGGAATTAGGTCTCCTCATTAGTATCTGTCAAACCATGCTGGGCCTCTGCGGCAGCAGCAGATTATAGAACTTATCATGTAAGAAGAAATTCTTTCCCTTGTTATCTACGGCTTTTTTCCACCCACACCATCCCGCGTTCACTATTTTCTTCAGATCATCCGTGCCAGTATAGTGTGGATCAAGAATTAAAAAAGCGCAGTCTCCACTTGCTTCATTGTAATCCACTCCCAAGAGTGTGTAAGCAAGTACACCACCACCTGCATTTCAAATTCAAGTGCTATTAAGAAAGACATCTTTTCTTCTTCCCTCCTTCCAAAATTTTTTGGGAGCAGCTGGGCCAAACTTAGCCCCACATAATTACCCCTTTTTAAGTGATCATAACCAGAAGATGTGATTAATGATGCCTCAAATCTCCGCACGTTAAAAGTAAGACAAACAATTAAATATAGATGGCCGATAAAACAGAAATTACATCGTCCACTAACCAATCATAACAGGAGTCCCTTGGGTCTCAAAGTGCAATGCCAACTCTCGACATTTTTCAGGAAGCTCAGCTCCAGATCTAACATTGATTACTTTGCAAGTAACCTGATAAAGAGAGAACCCAGTCAAACCATTGAGAAAATGTTGTTCATTTCCACCACGCATGCAGGCATCTGTTGTCTAAAATAGTGAGCAAACCCTTTTCCATGCCACAGGTCAAAGCATTCTCACATAACCACAGGAAATTCTCTGATACGTATATCTTTTATCACATGGATCATATGTTTATGTACCTTGTTGTGCATCAGAGAGCGCATCTAAATTCAAGATGTGAGGCCAGGTCCAATTTTTTTTTCTTGTTTTTCTTTTTTTTTTTTTTGGCTGAAGAGGCCGAGTCCAACTGAGCCAACCCGAAAAACCCAACTTCATCTATATGATGACTATAATATTTTAACACTACAGCTCAAATTTTAAAAGCAGTTGAAAGAGTGGTATACTTACGCCCAGAAGTTTGTCTAAAACAAAGCTCAACTCAATGGCACCAATCCATTCTCTTGACCCAATAAAAGAGGGATCCTTGTCACCGATCTCAACAAGTGACTGCTGTATTTCCCTGATAAATTGTAGAGCAAGCTTAATGACACACGTGAATATGTATAGCCATTAGTTGTCGAGTAAATATCCAACAAGAATGAGCACTCTAGTTATTAATTTGAATTTGAATCTATCAAGTCATTGAATAATCAATTACACACAGAATCAAAACAGAACAGAGCCCCAGGGGATAACGAGCCAACAACTGAAGATAAGAGAAACCTGAGAAATATTAGAAGAACTTGCCGCATTCCACACTACCCCATTCCAAAAATGAAATAAAGGCATGTCCATCATTAAAGGTAAGTACCTATGAGAAGGAACATCTATGGATGTGTAATTCTGTAATCTGAACCATGAGACGATAGTCTGTAGAGAGCGATAAGCACAACCCCAACCCTAAAAAGTCAATACTAAATGAATAATTTTGTGACAATAGTGGTCTTGCGATCATTTATCCAAGCAGCAATATGTAAAATCCCCATTGGGACTATGTTAAGCTGAATATCTAATACATAGCAGCAATGACTAAAAGAGTGTGTGTGTTTTGGATAAATATCTACTGCAGATAAATATGAGATTTCAGAGTGCTAAAATCGTTAGAAGGCTGGATTGAAATTACCGAATCATTAAAACCGTCCTGAAGATAATGGTGGTATTCATAGGAACCTTGTACAAGGGAAACGAGTCCCCCAGCAACTGTATAAACCATCACAAGCACATGAGACAAAGAAGAATTATACTGATATAGCAATCTTGCAACTTACCCCCACTGCTAGGTATTCCAATATGCACATCTCTGAGCAATGTAGAACCTGACGTTGCCCCAAAAAATTGCCAAGGTTAATACATTGATAATGGAATGACGCAGGTGCAACCATAATTATCATCACCTAAAGCATAAAGAAGTTTGTATTTGGACATAATTATTACCCTTCTGCAGGGAATCACTCCCGCTGCTTTTCAATCTTGAAAAATCCAAGGCATTAGCAATTCTTAGAAGGGGCCGGTCATAAGGCAATCCTAGCCTTGAGTGTAAGGATCTTCTAACTTCAACTGTACAAAGCAAAAAAGAATTAATAAATCAATACCATTCATTCAGATCAGAAATGGAAGAAATGTTAGCAAAAGCAAGAAATATAAACAGCGACAGTATCTGCAAACCTCCATGCACAACACAATATACTCCTTATTCAGTTATTTTTCAATCAAGTGAATAGTATAACAATGCAAGAAATTTCTGTGCATGGAATTAGAAAGTTCAATAGCATACCCTGCTTTGATTCTGTCTCCCCAAAACTAAGTTCATAGAAAACGGTAATTGGATGCAAAACCCCAGGAGGTTTAAAGTGATAAGGACGTAGCTGTAAGTAAAATAAACAGTTAATTAATCAAAAGAATAATAATTTACGAGCTGCATGTGTGTGAGGTGGAAAAAAAAACTATTACGAAACACTTAAACAAAATAAATGTCAAGAACATGACAAAGCAAAGGCTAGCGAGAAAAGAATGACCAAAAAAAATAAATTATTCAAAGACTCTGTTGCTGTATGTTATAGACTGCCCATCATCCTTCATTTATACTAATACTACAACCACACAAATATACCTTATACTTTGGGTACACTACAAGAAGCTCTTTTCTTTACCTAAAATATTTTCCTGATAGCTGGATAACTACTAACAGGATGACTCATTTTTGACCTACAAGACTTTTCTAACTTCTTAGCACTTCTAATAAAAAAAGTAAGAAAAATAGATATTAGCAGTAGATATTATTCTTTAGAACAACAATCTTTTCTCTTTCACCTCACTAACTGGAATAGATCACAGTATCATTTGAAGGGACACCTGTAAATATTATCTTGCGAAAATTAAAGACATGCACACCAAGGCTGATACTTCTCATCTTTTTCTCTTTGCTATGAGATTGCATTATTAGGATAGGTTTGTATCTGACAGCAATAGTCTCATTTACACACTCATAAATCATAATCCTTAGCAAACAAAGGTTACATGGATCTGATCCTTTCCACCAATAAGAACCATGAAAAGCTTGTGTAACAGAATAAATGATAATACACCGCTTCACCTGAGGATGCTGTGCCAAAAAGTTGGGCAAGATTAAGTTCTTTAGCATATTTATCTGGTCCACTAAACCAGGGATGACTAAACTCGAAACTGCATAGCTAAGTGGAAGCTCCTTTGCTGCATAGCAGAGTATATCAAGCTTCATGTCTACTATGAGTAGTCTGGCTTCCTCCTGGACTGAAAGCAATGATTCAACGTTCAATTAGAAAGTTAAGAAACAAAATTAAACTAAATTCAAATATTCAATGAACAGATATATGACAGGAGGTATGGCCCTCAATTCCTGACCTGGAAGATACTCAGCAACAGGGGCAGCAGGAGTTGAGGACTTCTCTAAGCTATTGAAGAGAACACTAACTCGGATGGTATCTGCATTCTAAGAAGAAAAAAGTCTCACAAGATGGATTACAATAATCATTTGACTACTCATGAAGCATGTATAAAAGCAAACTAACAGGCAACAATATCATCAAGTTCCATCAGATAAAATTAAGAAAGCTATCAACAGTAAGGAAAAATTGGAAGGAAAAAAAACAATAAACTCAACCATTTTCCTTACCTCCACAGAAAATATTGGTGAGCCTGCTTTACTTTTCATGGAAAAGTAAGAAGATGAAAGCAAATTTGCATCAGAACCATCACCTCCAACAGCCAAAGGCCAGACCTTGGAGAGATCTGTGTTAAAGTCTAATTGTACACCTCGGATTATGGCTCGTGGAGATTGATCCACAGAGGCTTTGCTTGATGTCTCTAACATGTACACTGCTTGTGGATCTCTTAACTTGGCAACAACAGCTTCGGTTGCACGAGAAAATGCTTTCTCAATATCTGTGGAAAAAAATTTATCCATTATTAGCTGTCTGTAAAAATATAAGCCTATGACAATTTATTAATGTTTTCATGTTACGCAGGTAGTGTTGCATAATTAGAAACACAACTTCTCTCTCGGCTAAACCATCTAAACTACTGCCAGCCTTTTTATGGCCAACAATTATTTTCATTTTCACCAATCATTATCCTAGGGACAAATTCTCGTAGTTTTGCTCCATAGCATCGCGAACTACAACTGAAGTATTTTCAATAAGACCATCACTAATCTTCCATTGATATGAAGTAGCTGATCAATAAATTTGAAAAGGGCATGTTAGAGTATAGCATCTTAATATAGTACAATGCTCGATCAATAAATTGCTCAATTAACATGTTAGAGTGATAAAAACAAATTGGGGAGTAAGGAAACCTACCACTGGGATTGTTTACAGCATAATACACCGGCAACTTAACTGGAAGTTCGCACCGAAGCAAACAGCCCTTCTCCCATACATACTTCTCTGGATGATCTTCGTATACAATTGACGTAACAGATTCGAGGCTTGTTTCATGGCCGTTCTTGGAGACGAAAAATCGCATGTCGCTGGCATCCAAACCTGCAACTGCTGCTACAACAGGTTGATTTTCGCATTTGCCTTCGCCGTAAAGAAGCTTCCTTAATCCACGAGCAGCATCTATGGATTTCCGAGCATTTTTCTCGAAATCGGAGTCTCCAAAGGTCAAGGCTCCGAATATCTCAAATCCTTCTATTATCAGAGTCCGAAGTTCTTCTGCTCAGAGTGCCAAAATTAAGTTATCTCTTGACAACTTCGGTGGAAAAACAAGAATAAACGAATTTGCAAAAATGCCGTAAGAAAAACAGGCAAGCAGGAAAGCTGAGTGATGATGAATTACAGAAAATAATCAATAATGACCTGATTCTTGGCGTAAATCTGGGGAAGTGGAGTCGGAAGAAGCAAGGGCGTGGATACATCTGAGAGAGGAGACGACGGTAAGTGGCGGGAAAAATGGTGATCCGACGAGCCAATAGATTCCGGGACCCGAATCAGTGTTGTGGAAGATGAGCTTTGGGCAGAGAATTTTCACGCTCCCCATCTGTGAAGATTCTGCAGATACCTCTCTGGTCTCTGCTCTGCTTTGTAAACTAAACAGTGTTAACACTCAACGAGAGATCATCGGCTTATTTGGACGGAGGTTTTTTTTCGCGGCTTTTTTTTTTTTTTTTTTCCTTTTTCTTCGCTTTCATCTTGAAAGTTGATTACCCCGCCTTTTGAAGCTTGAGGCTGCGTCGTATGAACTTTAATGCGATTGTTATACAATTTGGTGGTGACCTTAAATGTTTTTAAAAATTTTGTAATAAATTCATCGCCAATAATACTAGTATTGTGTAATCCTTATTTAGAATTTTATAATTATATTTTCTTTATTTAGAGAAACAAATTTTTTTACCAGAAAATTTAGAATTCGTTTGGTATGAGAGAAATTAAAAAGAAGAAAAAAATTTTAATGAGTTTAATTTAAAAAAAATTTAAAAAGTGGGATTAAAAGCTTTCTGTTTATTTTTATTAATATTTTATCTTACATATCTTTTTAATTAAAATTTTAAAACTTCACTTTTTGAATTTTTTTTTGGCTTGAGATTTTTCCAATTTTTCAAATTAAACTTATTAAAAAAATTTCCCCTCCCCTCCATCTCCAATGTACCAATCATAGGTTGGAGAAACAAATACTAATAGCATGGAATTGAATCCATGAACTCCTACACACATATATATAATAGCTTTCATAGACTGCAATGCAATTCACTAATTCTTTTTTTTTAAAACGCAATTCACTAATTCTAAACAATCTTTATAGTACCTTCAACATTTAAAGGATGGTTAAATGAAATAATGCATGTTGAGTGAGGATGTTGTCCAACAAAAGAAATGAGTGTATTGAACTGTTCTTTTTGTTTTACGGTGTCCGCTGGATTCAATAAATCATGCGAATCTGTATTTTATTTTGTTCAACTACACTCGTTATTTTTATTTCATACAAGTAACATATATTTATATAATATATGGAAATAAAACCACTTATCAGTGATCACGATTAATTAATTATTTATATACTAATAAACGGTATCATTTTCAATGGACTGATTAATTTTAAATGAGTACTTCTTTTAAATGTAAATATAGATGCATAAGAAAACTTGTTAATAATATTTAATTGTTGTCCTTGCCCAATTGTTTATAGGAAATTCTACAAAAAACTTGAAATTATTAAATTTTACATAAGAAATTCCTATAAAAATATGTTGTTATTTGTAAGTCAAATATTTTCAAAACATATTAAAGTATCAAAATCAAACCTGATTCAAGACTTGGTAATTTCAAGCTGAATTCTCTCGTTTTATGCTAACTACGGTCCTAAATATAAGAACTGATTAGCGATCCTAAATATAAGATCTAATCTATTTTGTCTTTTAAATTTATAATATGTTCGTAAAAATATTTTTATCAAAGATAAGGTATTTCCACTCAATGTGTGGTTTCAATATATATAATTGAACAAGGATAATTTAAAAAAATTAACATACATTTATTACAAATAAATAAACTATTTGTTTTAATCTCTCCAAATTAGTTATCTAGTTCTTATATTAAAAATCTTAAGTAGTATGTCTTATTTAATAAGATAGGAAGAGCCCAAAAAACCAAGATACGATCAGCGAAGGCATCATTCAAAGTGCATACAGAATGGTGGAACACCACCATTTGAAGCTAGCACCAATTCTACCAACAAGATTCCATGGTACTCTCTCCGTTCCTTATTATAAGAAATATTTGATGCTTATGGCATGTTCTTATATATAAGAGACACTTAAAAGTTGTTTCTATTTTTTTGTATTGATTTTTATTTTATTCATATTTATTGTCTCCAACTTACACTCTCTCTCCTTTCCACTTCTCTCTTTTTAATAATTTACCATTATTCTCTCTCATGTTCTCTCTCCTTATTAATGAGGGCATTTTTGGGAAAAAATATACTTTTTACATATTAATTGTTCTTAACTAATTTTAACTGTTTTTTTTATCAACGTAATTCGGTTATTCGTCTCTTATAATAAAAAACAGAGGGAGTAATTATTTGATTGTGTTTGTCAGGATATCGGCCGTGATATGCCAAGCAACATTTAGAATACGTTTGAATCGGTTTGATAGATGAATTTAGATATGGATTTTCGGCAAAGATTTATATTTAAAAACCTTTGGATGGTGTGAAAAATTTAAAATTATGAAGCCGGCGTTGAACGAACGTAGCCTGAGCAGCGACAGTACCGATGATGTACTTGGATTTGAAATAATTAGTTTACTATGTATACTTGAATTTCTAAAGAATTATAATATAATAATAAATTCTACCAGGATTCGGATCCAATCCAAATCCATGATGATGAAGCTAGTCACTGTCCGGGACTAATCAAATACAGGCACGACCAGTGGGTACCTGGGTTCTGTTTCGCAATGGGAGAGTATCCGCTTAATGTATCTGAGGTGAAGTGCATGCTGAAGGGATTGGGACTGAGCTGGGATCATGGATTTTTAAGCTCAAGCTTAGTTGTTACTGTAATTTCATAAGCTTGTTTTTTTCACCATAAAAATTTACCCGTTTAACGTTCGCGCGTGTGGAATTTTTAGCGGTGTTCAGAGGAACCACCCCCCCCCCCGGGGGGTAAAAAATCACATGCGACAGAATCTAAATCAGCAACATCTGCGCTATGTTACATTGGCTACAACAAAGTTCATGAAAATTGTGTCATCTGGGCTTCTCACAAAATATATGTACTTACATTTTTGTGCCAAATTTATAAAACCATTCATCGCTGAGTGCCTGCCACCATGAAGTCTTGCAGCAGCTACTTAGCAGAGGCACAGGAAAGAAACCTCCCTGCTGGATGCGACTTATGCTGCTGAAGCCCCACGTGCCATGACTGCAAGGCCCAAATCACTTCTAGTCAGATAATAATGGTCTTGGATCATAAGGTCACACTTACGGTTTGGATGTTAAGGAAGCCATCCCAGTTCACAGGCCAGAGCAAGTTCCTTCAGTTTACTAATCATGACCAAGATTATATCATTGTTTACCCCCAAATCCCGAAATGAAATCATTACTCCACTTCCAGGAGATTTATATTTAAAAGAGAAGTGATCTGTCAATATAGACAAAATAGACTGATTTTCAAAGATGAAACTTCAAAGCTTAAAATCTGATTTGGGGTAACTGGAAATCATCAATCCTCTACGGGATCCTCCATTAGAGAGTTGCTTTGTTTCCTGGATCTAATTATACAAGAGTCGCTCCAAAGGAGTTGCGTAATGTTGAAGCAGGCCTACCTTCCTCAAGGGAGATCTCGGGGTTCTCCAACAAAGCAAATCTGAATCCAACTTCGGGCTGCAACAAGGACCATAGACTTCCAGTTAAACAATCAAGTAAAGCTAGCAAGAAGAAACCAGGCAATGGATCCATTTCAACTATATTTAATTCAACGGGATAGAAATACTGGGGAGAAAATTAGAGGTACAGGACAACCAGATCGTATTGAACCATCAGTAACATGCCTTGTTGAAGTTTGCAGTTTCTTGACATGGCAACAACACCGACCCTACCTATGCATACGTTTTGTTAACCCTTTAAGTTCAATGCTAGGAACCATGTTAAAGTAAGGCTTGAAGTGTTTACAAGAGGCTGGTTGTATGAAAATATATTCAAGTGATGAGTTTAACATCTCAATGGATCAATGGCAAATTTCGAAGTTGATTGTTTCGTAGCTTCTACCAAAGATACGAAGTTCCGTTGAAATAGTCATTTCATGGATGATTGAGCCAATTTTTCATCCATAGTTATCATACCTTCGGTAGTAAACAATGCTCGCTCCATTCATTTACATCAGATAGGAAGATATGATTGAGCTCGGCAGCAGCATTTTCCAGTCGAAGATTGAAGAATATTCATTTCCAAAAGAGCGTTATAAGCAGGAAACTGATGGGACGCATTGGAAGAAAATATCCAATCCAGAAAATGCTAGGGAACACAACTCAAGTACAACGTCTATAATTTGGAATTTCTAACCCACAAAGAGACGCACTTCTAAGACATGGTTATATCTTCATATTATGAAGTAGCGTAAATAATGATAACAAAAGAAAAGATAATGATAACAAGCAAAAGAACGCTACCTCTTCTCATTTTGGGCGGCTTTGGTACAGTTGTTAGAGCTGGTGGAGAAAACACATGGTTCACTAGCATAGCTATACGTCTCAGAACAGGTGTAATTTGGGATGGATAAAACAAATTCTTTCTGTTGTTGAGTGCCCTCGAATACCAACTGAGATAGATCTGGAGAATGTAACTTCTTCTTATGAATCCAGAAAGTTCGAGGGAAACATTTTGATTGATAGTCTGAATCAGGGTTTGATGAAACTAGGTGTGCATAATCAAATCCCTCTTCCTTGGAGGAATCAACACCAGAACTTGAGGTCCTTGAAGTCTCTTGACATGAACTATTCAACAAATTCTTCCTTGAGCTCAGCAAATTTCCTTCACCATCTCTCAATGCTGTTACTACCTCCATTCCATGATAAGAGTCAGGTTGTTGCATCTGAGATCCACAATCAGATTTACAAGTTCTATCCTTCATCATGGCTTTCTGCGAGGTGTGATCAGTGTAGTCTGGTTCACTTCCTTGTTCATTATCTGAGAGCGCCTTTCGATGAATTCTACGGGAACAAGTGAAAAAACTGAAAGATGACCTCTTCAACTTGGCATATGTAGAATCAGAAGTGCAAGGTACATGATTGATCCTGAGCTCTATGTTACAACCCAGTATGAGCTGCAGGGAACTGGCAATCATTTTCCACGACTTCTCAGCCCTATATACGTAGTTGCGATGCTGGAAATCCAATTCAGCAATTGCTAGACCTAGAAAGGGGTAATTTTCGTTCATTAGATTGGTGCAACAGGTTAATATACGATACCAGTTCAAGATATGAATAGCTGATCAAGAATATGGAAAAGCATTAGAATATGATGTCACAATGTTGAGGTGATCATAAATAAACAACTAGGAGACATCCCTTTCTGTAATAAACTAATATTAATTAGATATTAGAAGTTCCTTCAAAAGAATAAAAAAGTCCCGCTCAAAACATGCAACAAGAACAAGCACAAAATACACTGACCGGAACAGGGGACCAGATTATACTATTATTTATATATGGTGAGTTTAGAAGATGAATGGGGAATGATAAACCAGATGTGATAAAGAGAGTATAGACATACCGCGATCAACACACAGAGAAGACAACTTCCCCTGTTTCCTAAGAAAAGTCTTGAGTCTGTTAGATTGACATGACTCTGTCGCTTTATGCCATATGGAACTTAATGCGTGATCCTGTTGTCCTAATCTAAACAACTTGTTATCATACTGAGCAGAGGCAGGATGCTTCCGGCTATCCCCTGTAGATGATGTACTGCAGAAATCACCATCTGTGTCCATTTAAAGGCAAGCTTAGAAACGTACACCTCGTAAAACTATTTTAATTCTAAATACTCATCCGCATCACCCCCAATAAGGAGAAACAAAATAAAAATGTGATAAGGCATCAAAACTAATCAATGCCGCAACACACCTCCATTGCATGCATATCTCAATTTCGTATCACTTGCTTCGACAGAAGAATGTTCTGCAGAGCTTAACTGCAGAAGAGCTACCGTGAACCATGTTGTTTGATTCTTGGAAATCCGTAATTGCTTCTCCGTTTCAGAAAGTATTCTCAACGCATGATTTAGTTTTTGAAGGTCAGCTTCAGCTATGATGGCGAAATTGTAAAGCCAGACAATTAGGCAAGCATAGTATGAGATAAACATCAAACGGCCAACTTAAACTGATTGGCATGCTATACTAAGAAGCACTTACATTTGCGTCTATTGGAAAACCTCATTCTGATTTCAGACCCGCTATCATCACATTTCCCTGCAAGGATGTCCATAATGAGATTTGCCAGCTGTGATATAAGTTGTAAAGGGTCCACTCTTGATCTCATTAACTCTCGCGCTCTTTTAACTGTATTTGAAGTGTCGGAAGACAGAGCCAGATCCAGTAATTCAAGCAATTCGTCGTCAGAGATGATACCAGTCTGCCAAGCAACAGAAAACAAGACTGAGCACCAGTTCTTTTTCTTCTTCTTTTTTTTTTGGTTTTTTTTGGGTGGGGTGGGGGGGGGGAGGTTAGGTGTCAGGAATAATAGCATAATACTTACAAGTTCATGGGCTAAGGAAATTGTGATTTTTTTACCAAGCAAGCTCAGCTGATCAAGCATGATTTCTGCATCCCTAAGTGAACCACAGGATTTAGCAGAGATGAAGCCCAAAGCCTCCTGTTCAAAGTCAAGACCTTCTTCTATGCAAATTTTTTCCAATCTGCTTGCAATGTCAGCATCTTTTATCTTAGGGAAGTGATACCTCTGGGCCCTGGAAACTGTACTTCGGGGAAGTTTGTCCAGATCTGGCGTGATCATAATAAGGACCACATGCTGAGAAAGGCTCTCTAGGCTATTCAAAAGACTTGCCCATGCCTCCCCCGTGATCAACTGGCACTCATCAACAATAAATATCTTAAAACGTGAAGAAACTGGAGGGATGCTTGCATTTTTAACAAGGGATTTTATCTTGTCAATACGATTAAGTTTCACAGAATCAACTTCTTTAACATCTTTACTTCTACCAGAAAAGAACAAAACGCACTCTCTGCAAAGACCACATGGCCTTTCCTCCTCGAGGGAGAGACAATTCAGGGCAGCAGCAAAAATCCTGGACGCAGATGTCTTGCCAGTACCACGAGGACCATGGAAGAGATAGAATGAGGTTACCCTTCCCTTAAAGATGGCGCCCAAAAGAGACCTCGCTACCACATTTTGCCCAACCAAATCACTAAAAGATTTTGGCCTAAATTTCATACATAAACTTCTTGGAGTTTCAAAATTTGGACTGATTTCACCGCCAATGTGTCTCATGTTTTTATGTCCATAAAGAGCCGTCTCATCTGTGTGCCAGGATATCAGAGGACGGTCTTCTATATCAGAATATACATTTGATTCTCTAAACCTTGGCGATTTTGACCAACAACAGCTTATTCCACATCCATGGTGATTATCATCTCCAATATCTACATCTTGATTCATGTTCGTCGAAGAACTATAAGCTGAGAAGGCTTCACCGACTGAAAGGCATGGACTACCCCCAAGACCTGCAATATCGCCCAAAACTTCGGATGATTTCACTTGATTCTTGCCTAGAGTTTTTCTAGTCAACATAGAATGATCAATTGTCCCTAACTTTGATGACCCAGAAGTTGCCTCGTTGCTGGGAGGAATAACAGATGCTATATCTAATTCCTTACGTCTATGGTTGCTATAGCAGCCATCACTTGTCGACTTAATACCGGAATTGACTTCCTGATTCAAATTAGAGTAAGCTAGTTCTTCATCCTGCTGGCCTTCAGGACAAGACTTCAGTTTAGAGTTGAAATGGCCACAGTTCAATTCAAAATCAGCAGCATCGTGCTCTCTGCGCATGCTACAACTCAAATTCTTCGACCTTAATGCACCATTATCATCAGAATCACAAGCGCGAGAAGCGTCCAAGAACCGCAGAGAAATCCCATTGCCCGAACTGTTTTCCCAGTGCAGATTATCAATCGAAGAACAGAGTTTGCTCATAGAATTCGTAGATGGATCCCTCAATGACCTGACTCTCCTCAACGCTACAAGAGTTTTCGAAATAGGAACATCAACTGAATGCCGCCTCCCATCCATCATCGTCTTCAATAAATCAATAAATTATATAATATACAATCAACACCTGCTCCAAACAACGCAATCCAAACCTAGAAGAGAAGAGTCTGGTCAAAGACAACACAAGCAAAAAGCCACAAAATGAAACACAGAATCAACCAATCATAAACTTAATCGCAATGAGGAATCTCATTCAAGTTTGCATTGTAGCTCATAATATCCTTTTCTCACTCCCTTTTACAGCCAACTACTTCCACTTCTCACTGCAACCTTGCAATCACCATCCAAGCTGGAAATGGACATCCGACACTGAATATAGAGTGTATAGGAAAATGTAGTATACCTTTGATCAGAGCAAAGCGCAGTACAACGCCATTATTATCTCTTCTGACCTCCAGAGCAATCTATACTGTTCCCATTGCACCCCCAGTGTAGAACTGAAAACAAGACAGAGAACCGGAGGGAAGAGAGAGAAAGGAGAGAATCTGCAGTTCAAATTTTAATGATATAAAATAAGGGAGATGAGAACAAACAATGCGAAACGACAAAAGTTGAAAAAATCCACACCTGCAAAAAATAGAAAAATATCAAAACTACTATATTCTTCGAAACTGACGAAGACAACAACGGAAATGAGGTAGCGTAGAAAACGGGACAATGCTTGAGAAACCCTAAGTTGGAAACAGAGGCCTTGGTGGCGGTGCCTGTTCGCATTGGATAGCGGAGCTTAGGGAATGAGCTCCAGTAAGAGATGAAGAACTGAAGATAGAGAAGGGGGAGAGGAAGGAGTGGCGAAGCAGTAAATTTGAGAAAGGAGGAGGGGTATTTAAGGAAGGCATGGTTTGGAGAACGTGTACAGAATTTAAGAGGGTGGAAGCCTGAAGAGTTTGTTTGTTCCCTTGCAGCAGAGGTGAAGCAGAAAGGGGGGTCTTGGCCAGCGAGCTTCTCAGAGAAAGAAAGGGTGAGGGCAGTTTGGTAATTTGAGTGAGTTTCAGTTAGTTTAGTTTTGTTTGAAGTAGTTGGGCACTTTTTTTTGGGGGGGGGGGATAATTTTTTATGTTTTATATATGAAAGGAAAATATGGGAAGCGAGAGGAGTGTGACTGTTGTGCAGGGAGGGTCCATGCGTTTCAACAGAGTCTGTGGGTCTACCTCTACGCATCTTGCAGATTTCGAGGGACAGTTGGAGGCTCGTGAAAAAGCTGATTTTGTTGTTTAATTAAAGGATTAAAGAATGGATTTAATTAAAAACCTAAAGAAAAAGGTCTAGATATGAACTCGTGGGCTTGAAATGCCACTGGCGCCCTTAGGGTGATCGAACTTATCACGGTTTGAAATAATTTGTAAATAAATTTTAATTGTAATTTATGAAATATGAAATAAATATGTAAAACAAGTTTTATCTCGATTTACGTAAAATATATTTAGGTTCTTTTTGTTATCTAATTGAAATAACTTATAAACACGTTTCACGTAAATCAAGATGAAATTTTCCTCACATACTTACCTCATATTTCGTAAATCATGATTAAAAAACTATTTATAAGTTATTCCAAACGAGCTTTTATTATAAATGCTTATGCTCATTTAAAAAGGTTTATAAGTAAATTTTTAATCTTATAAGTACTTGTAGATTTTTGTTTTAGAGTTGCTTGTTTGAATTTGTATGGAAACCAGCACATATTGAGCGGTTCAAGGTGATAATTATGGATGCAGTGATTGTGATCCCATTGAATTTTGACTGACCAATTTCTTCTGCTGCAGCTACCCCGCAGTGATGGCACCAAAGTTTGCATTAATGAAAAGGAGCGATCATATATTTCTCGCCTGTATTTACCCTCGGATGTTTAATATTACCCTATGTCACAAGGACATCAAACATGGATTTTGATTTCTCAGTTAAACTCTCCTTAACTGAAAAGACTCGATGGAGATACATGAACGGTGAATTTAAAGCTCAGAAAAATTCGCATAACGTGATGACGTGTGAGGGGAGAAAATATACGGGTAAACATGATGATGATAATAACGACACACCCCCATGCAAATGTATATATATCACTTTATATTGCGGTACAGCGTACATTGTGGGTGTCTTACTGTCTTATATATGGTACGCGTAATTTCTAATTACCAATATACGGTGCCATACAATAATTTTAAAGAATTTGTCTATTTTATCACTTCTTCAACCAATTTAATGCATAGCAGTTTATTTTTTCTTTTTAAAGAAAGCTCTGGATTGTACTCCCCCGATCCTTTTTTTAATTAAACTTCTTAATTAATTATTCTAAAGTTTTTAAATAATGATTTTCACATTTAAAAAAAACTCAATTTAATCAATTTTTGTAAGTCATATAAGCAGGTGTTTAGATAATAACAAAATCATAGTTTCAGAAGTGTTTTTACGATATACAAAATAAATATATAAAAGAATATGTCTCGATTTGTAAAAAAGTATTTATGAGAAGCTCTTTAAACACTCCTTAAAATGAGTAATTAAACTTTTTTTAAAAAAATACTACCTCCAGTCCTAATTATAAGAGCCAGTTAATTAATTTGAGGAGATTAAGGAAGTAAGTTAAGTTCGTTATTTGTCCTAAATAGATGTTGTCCTACCTAAAATATCCTTACCAATCAAGTGTATTGATTAGAACTATCATTGTTAGAAAAGCTACTTTGAAAAAAATATATATAAATACGAGAGACAAAGTGGATTGAGGTCTTATATTTAGAAATAAAAAAATAAATTAAACAGGATCTTATATTAAATACCAGACAATGTAATTTAGGAACGAGAGAGGGGTGGTCCCCAGTAGGAGGACATGGACATATAGTCATAGAGTAGAGTCAGCGGAAGAGACATGAGGAGAAACGGGGGGAAATGAAAAGGACGTAAAAGTGTGGTGAATAGGATGATACATAGGTAGCTGCCTCCCCATATCTGTACAGCGCTTATCTGACTCACACTTAAGCGGCGCCGTTTCCTTTCCGCCTTTTCATGCCTCCTCTCTCGTCTTTCCCCATCACTCCTACAAAACTAAAAATCCGTCTAGCTAATCGGGACCATTTCTCTCTTTCCTTTTTTTTTTTTTCTCCTTTCCTCTTAATCATCCTCATAATCTCCTCATCATTACCTTAAACCTCCGCTAATCATTCTTAATTATCTCTCTAATCCCTCCTCTTATTATTATCTCTACCTACCCCCCTCTATTTGCCTAGATTTCAATTACGTCCTGCTTTTATTGTTTATTTATTAGTTCAACGTAACCTTTAATTTTAATTTAGATTAGGTTTAGATTTGCCTATGGCCTACTCCGTCTTCCTCTCTGCCATTCGCGTCTTTTTGCTCTGTTTTTATAATTCCCTCCTGCGCTTTGCATGTGACCTGCCTTCCTTCCTCCCCTTTCTAAGGTCAATGGTCAATTCACTTTTATCATTTTTCTGGTTGCCCCTGTTTTTTTAAGGGGAAATGACAAATAAAGACTCTTGAATTAGCAAAATCACAAGGAGGTCACCTGAATAAGCTAAATTACCAAGAAGGACCCGGTCTCAAATTGTAATTATAAAATCAGGCTAAAAAGACAAAAATACCCTTCTTCTCTTTCTTCCATCACCCCATCTCTTTCTCTTTCCCTCTTCTCTTTCTCTTCGTCTCCGTCCTTCTCTCCCTCTTCATCTCCCTCTCTCTCTTCTTCCTTCAGTTCCTCTCCCTCTCAAAAATATTCATCTCCCGCCTATGCATTTATCAATATGATTAAGGTTGTGGCCATTCCCATCAATCTCTATTACAAAAAAGATGGTGACCCATCGTTAATGCTAGTTGGCAGAGGTAATCAGATTGAAGTTGATAGCAATAGTGTTCTGGAGATGGTATACAGAATCAATGTTGGAGAGGATGAGACTCAAGCTACCCAAGACACTACATGTATATATACTTCATGATTGGCACGGCATCATCTTGGTGGGTTGCGGTGTGGTCACTGGGTTATACGGTGGAAGAGAATGAAACGTGAAGTTAATGATGGAAAATGTTAGTTAGAGGATGTTGTAGTTAGTTTGAGATACACTTGTCACCGAATCTTGCAGAAACTGGTTGCTGTCAAAACACCTCTGGTTTTTTGTTATTTGACTTACTATTGTTGTAATTTTACTTAGTAGTGTTGTAACTACAGATTGGTTAGTTTGATCACAGCAACATGATATGACAATCTGAAAATGTTAGTATTTTGTTTATGGCAGAGCAATGTTAACATTTAGTATTTATAGTTGTAAATGATATCAATTTAGATCCATTCAATAACAAGTTGACTAAGACGAATGACAAGTTTAGTAAGGCAAATGACAACTTCTGATAAGCAATTCATAAAAATTTAATTTTCTCTTTTCAAATGACAGAATTTTCAGATTTCTTTAGCAGATCACAAGTTCTTATAAGTAATTTATAACAAGTTGAGTAAGGCGAATGACAAGTTATGAAAATCAATTGACAAGAGTGGAAAGCCAAATAACAACTGTGATAAGTGAAATTATAAGTCTGTGAGGAGATTTGTCATGAATTCAGAATATTAAATGGATCTACATTGATACCATTTACAACTATAAATACTAAATGTTAACATTGCTCTGCCATAAACAAAATACCAACATTTTTATATTGTCATGCCATGCTGCTGTGATTAAACTAACCAATCTGTAGTTACAATACTACTAAGTAAAATTACAACAATAGTTAGTCAAATAACAAAAAACCAGAGGTGTTTTGACAGCAACCAGTTTCTGAATCTTGTAAAAACTGGTGTATGACAACTTCTGATAAGCAACTCATAGGAATTTAAGATTCTGGATTAAAATGACAATTTGCACAATTCCTTGGCAAATGACAATTTTAGTTTTATTTAGCAAATGACAAGTTTTGATAAACAATTTATGACAAGTTGACTAAGACGAATGACAAGTTTAGTAAGGCGAATGACAACTTCTGATAAGCAATTCATAAAAATTTAATTTTCTCTTTTCAAATGA